ATAATTTATTAGCAAGCGGTTAAAACGATTTCTTATTCACTATTAAAAATAATGGCACTACTGGTTTGCGATTTTGTGTTGGCGGACTTCAGTTTGAAACTTTGCAAGAAGTCGTTGTCGTTGAAAATATTACAAAACTGGATAATGTGAAAAGAAGAGCCTGTAACTGATCACAACGAGAAAAAGAAATGTTAAGTATGATCACGTCGAAGCTAATCTTAGTTTGGATCTTGAAAGTCTTTCCCGGTATAGTAAAAAACACAATCCTAAGTTAAATTCTAAAAAAACACAAATTATGTTATTTGCTCCCCCTGGAAGCTATAATTTTTTGCGTGATCATATCAAAATTCAATTGAAAAATGAGAATTTTAAATTTACAAGTGAAGCAAAAAACTTCTCTCTCTTGCGAGGTTGACTGCCAACTATCTCGCCAACGTTTAGGTGGTCGTCCAGTAGGTCTTCTGCCATGGAGTACGTTATGGCAGAACTATTATGGCCATTCTGTCGGGGCCCATTCTACTGACATGCTGGTTCCATTCTCTTCTTCTCTGCCTTATCCATCTGACAACGTCATTTGTTTGGCACTTTTCTCTTATGTCTACATTTCTCTGTCTGTCCCTCAATGTGTATCCAGTTATCATTCTTAAGGTCTTCATTTCCGTAGTTCGTAGGATTCTCTTTGTTACTGATGTTTCAGCTCTGGTTTCCGCACCATATTTCATCACTGGTCGTACGCAGGTTTTGTATATTCTTGACTTACATTCTGCACTCAAATGTTTGTTTTTCCATATGGGATATTTAAGATGGCCTGATATTAAGGCAGCCTTATTGGTTTGTTTCCTTACTTCTTCTTCCAGGAATCCAAGCCGAATAGTTTTGTTTGTTTATTTATTTATTTTATTTCTCCTCTGACTCTGCAATAAGTACTGCGTCATCGACATAGCATAATATGTTTACTTTATGTATTCCCATTCGATATCCTAATCCAGTATTCTTAACGGTTTTTATTAATTGGTCCATGATTGTGTTGAATAGCGGAGGGCTGAGACTGTCGCCCTGGCGAATACCAGTTGTAGTTCGGGGACGTTGGATTAAGGTAATGTTTGTTCTTATTTGGGTTGTTGTGTTTGTGTTTAAGTCCTTGATAAGTTCTGTGATTTCTTTCGAGACATTACTGCTCTTCAAGATGGTGATAATGTCTTTTAGTTGGACTCTATCAAAGGCCTTTGTTAAATCTATAAAGCATAGATGGCTGGAGGGTTATATTCTGAAGATTTTTCAGCCAGTTGCCTGAGTATGAATAATGCATCGGTAGTGGAGCGGTTTCTTCGAAATCCTTGTTGTTCCTCGCTTATTGGCACTGTTGAGGAGATTTTATCCGCAATGATCTTAGTCAAAAGTTTTAGCGAGGTGCTCAGTAATGTTATTCCTGAGAAAGTTTGATCCTATATCAGAAAAAATATTTGAGACGAAATGGCTCAAAATTAAATAACTGTTTCAACTTTTACTCGCGATTGTGGTATTTAAGGTTATGAAATATTCTTTTTCTACTCCCGTCTGCAAAATACCTAGCGACCTACCCACCGATCTAGCGTGCGGGAAGCGTCGCTTTACCACGTCAGTTTCGTTTCCCGCGAATCCGAGCCACTTCGGACATTTCCGCGATTTTACCGCACGGGTTCGGGAGCAATCGGATGTTTTCGGAGATATTTTCCACGCTTTGAATTTTGACGTTTGTCAATTCTGACAGTCATATCGGTGAATGTATTCGTGTTTTACGAAAATGTTCGGTAAACTTTTTAACTTTTTAAATGCCGTACCAACGTACCTGAAGTGTGTCAGTATGAAATTCACGATGCTCTTCTAATGCCTAATGCTGCTTTAGCTATAGTTCCATTAAGCTTTATAATAACTATAATAAATATTTTCAATGCAGCTCGGTTCTAGTATTTAGGAAAAAAACTAAGGTCCATTTATTGGAATTACAAAAGTCTCTGTCCTAAACAAATTAGTATTTTATCAATAATGCATTTTTGGACTCTTATTATTATTATTATTATCTTTGGTGAGCAAATATTTTCATGTGTTTATTATTAATTAATTAATTATTATTATTAATTCAAAAACGAATGCAGTTTACCACAAACAAAAAAGTGGTACTGGGGAGAGAGTGGCAAAAGAATATAATGCTATCCAAACAACCAGGACGACAATCGCAACGCGGTTTTAAAAACTGCCTAGAGAAAATGATAAAGAAAATACGAAGCAAAATAAAGCAAGTTCCTGTGTAGTATTTTTGGATCTTCTAAGTCTCTTTTTAAATTCGGTCTAATTAAGTTCATTAATTGGAACTCTCATCAAGTTGTAAAGGCTAGCTGTATAGATTATTGAAAAAACTAATTTTATAAGAAAAACGCATAAAAGCAAACCCAATAAAACTCAAAATAATAAAAAAAATTGTCAAAGAAAACAATTTAATTAGAATAGGACCAATAAATAAATGTATTCATTGATTAGAATTTCCTATTATCAGCGTGATAAGTGATTGACCCAAGTGTTTGCAAATGTATCATTTCCCACATAATAATAATCCAAAAACACGTTCGGATAAAAGAGGAAAACATCAAAACCTCCAAAGAGGGGCTACGAGGAGAAAGAACAAAAGTTTCGAGAGGCCCTGTACATTAAAACGATAGCGCCCATCGAAATACCTTCCAGGCAAAAATACATTTTTCGAAATTTTCCACCAAGAAATGTTCAAAGAATTTTACTCATCTGCATATTTACGCGAGCCTATGCTAATGAAAGTGACAATAACCGCACGGTTTTGATATTTCTGGCGGTCAATGCGATATTTTCAACGAACGGTGTTTGTTTTGTGCGACATTTAATAAAAACGAAATGGATTTATGCAAATCAACGCGAAATATTCCATCGCGGTCCTTACCTAGGCGCTTTTATGAGAAAAACCCTCTTAGCACGCAGCCTGTCGATATCCTTCGATAACATTTGTTGGCATTCCCGAATTTTTGCCAATCGAGCATCGAGCTCGCCCGCGTCGACACTCATTTGCTTTTCGAACGCGTCAAGCTTTGCCAAAAAAATTGCAATGACAAACACCCGCGTTTGACCGAGAGCAGATCTCGAACCAACTGTTTCCTCACTTTCTTGATGATTTCTTGCAGGGCCGCGCTCGTTTCTGCCATCTCCAAGAGACAAAAAACAAAACGTTGACGTTTGAGTTTGTTGCGCTCGCGAGATTTGAAATTCTATATTTGCAAACGTACCATTATTAAATCGCAGTTTCTAAGTAATTCGTTCGACCCTCCCGTCTTCAAATATTCTCAATATCTGTTAAGCTATTATGATATTTACTTAACCTTGTGATTTTATTACGATTTGTAGGTGTCAATTCATGGAACACGCCGAAAAAAATTACACGTCAAACCACAGTATAAACGAGTGGTCCGTGCATTGCCGTTTCATTTGTGTTGAATGAGATGCAGCAGGTTTGCATCGGGGATTCTTTTTCATTCATTTGTGACGACATAGCTCTCGATTGTTTTCCATTCTAACTAATAAACATGACTTCATATAGCAAACATCCTAAAGCACACGACGGGCTCTCCAAATTCGTGTCTGACCAGTTTTTTTTGTTCGGAAGGCGTGGGTACCGTAACAAAAGACCGAGTCGTCCGTTTGGAATCTTGTTTTTCGAACTCGTTAATCATCATCGCACATCAAAATACCCGCGTCTCTAACCCCGGGCAATATAGCTACATTGTACGAAAAAAATATGCGAATAGGATTTATGTTTATAAACGCAGAACAAAACCGGTGGTTAAAACCATTATGCAATTACGCCCCACTTTTCAATAATTTGTAAGAATTGGTTATCCGTGGGAAGCACGCAAGTAGCTGTGGTCGGAAGTGACAATTAAAAGGCAATAGGTACTTCTCAAGTCAACACAAGGTTTTGGTATTGGCAAAATTTTCACAATAAAATTTCAGTTACAGCATTGGCGTCCACGCCCGGAGCTATCTACATCCTTCCCCGCAACGCTGTCAGCTCTGTTGGATGTACGATGCCTTTTATTTCTTGTCCGATATTTCTTTTATCGTAAAACTTATTTCGCGTGGGTCACGTGACGTTTGCAGAATCACGCTTTCTTCGGTTAGCCTTTCTTTATCTGTTCCGTGCCCGATGTGATTATGTAACCAAAAATACACGAACCGTATTGACGGTGTTATATACATATCATTATTTAAAGTTTTCCATTTGAGCGACGATGTTAGGAGCTTTAAATCCGCATACGCAGAATTAAGCACACAACAAACGAAAAGGAAAAAAAAAAAACGGTAATCCCGCACTTAAAAATTACCGCGAATCCAACGTTCGTAGAATCGTTTCATAATTATTTACAGATGTTATTTGAACGTCGGGCAAATAACGAAAATTATTAACATTAAGTACTCATAAAAGCGGTCATAAGTGCAATTAATTCGTCCAATTTGATTGGCACGCGGGCTACCAGCAAGATTTTTTTTTAATAACGCGGTTTATCCCATCGCAAAATGAAGATTCAATTACGTGGGACGCACGTGCGACGGGCCGTGTTTTTCAAATTTTCTTATGGGCGCCCGTTTGGAAGCGTCGCCATGTTGCACTTCAGTCGACGGATCATTTACGCCTCATTAAAACAAAAACCGCAAATTACGCTACGATTGTGGCGACTTGTTTAAGATAGTTGCTGATATTTATAATTGCTAAATTAGAAAAAAAAAATTAGGTTCTGCTCGAAACGGAATTAACATTGTCCGTATGGGGTACGAATTATTTTTTTTGGTGTTTATTTTTATCCGTAATTGTATAATAGCGAACGCGCCACTGAACTTTACGAAAAGGGACAACTTAAATTGAGAAACGGTCAAAAACAAAACGATTTCAAGTATAAAAAATATAATATAATTAAATTAAATAATAATGAAAAATGCGCGATTCAAATAAACTCGTATCACAGACTTCCTCGCCTCAGCGACCGGCCATCTCTTTCGCCACGTCTTCCCTCTCCTTCAATTCGTACCACGCCTTGTATATCTTCAAAAACCTATCCTTGGGTTCGACGCTAAAGTCCCCCAAACAAAACATCCGGAACGCGTCTTCCCCGTACCGCCCTACCCCGTACAAATCCTTCACCCTCCGCCACTGCTTATAAACGAAATCGTAAGACATCCTCCACACCTGCAAACCATCCCGTGGCAACCAATCGGATGATCGACGATACAATTTTTACCTGTACGGATCTCGTCTTCTGCAGTCCCAACTTCGCGAAATACTTCTCCAAATCTCCTGGTTTTTTCTCCAAAACCGCCAACGCGTCCTGGTTCTCCTCCAAGAACCAGAACACGTACGGCCTTGCCGATTTGCACGAGGTCTTGTTTAAAAAAATCGTAGCCACCAACAAGGCCCACGGGTCGTAGTACAGATCTTCTTCGAGTAAATTGTGGGGGGACTTTGGAGGTACCCAAATGGGCACCAAAAACTCCTTCTTGACGGCCCAAAAACGATCGGTGGGCGACCCGAAATCCATCGGCTTTTCTATGCGAGTTCGTCGGTCATCCAATTGCTCGATTTTAATTTTTTTCTCCTCTTCTTCTGTTTCGTTTCCCCCCTTGTCTTCTTCGCTCTCATTTTTGTCGCTTTTTGCCGGTTTTCTTTCCGTCTCTTCCACGTCGAGATCGGCGATTATTTTTTTTTTCCGTTTTCGCCTTTTCTTTAATTGTTTTTCGCATTGTGCGATCGGTTTTTCTTCCTTTTTCGACGGGCATTCCCCACTATCAGAATCAGAGTCCGCTTTGAGAAAGTAACGACTTACGGTTAACATGCTTTTCATTTTTTTTTTGCCGTCGCTGCAATTAAAATAAAAACAAAATTAATTCCAATGACTTGCGCAGGTCAGTATGCGGGGCCGCGATTAGCGGGAAATTCGAGAAAATTGCTTCGCTTTTTCATAAATCTAAATATAAAATTGCTGGAAAAGCGAAAAAAAAAATTTTAAGTTGCATAATTTTTATTATTCAATCGGATAATACTTCATATGCGGGGTGTTTCAAAAAACTTGGCCAGGTGAATGCTCAGTTTCCAAATTACGGGGTGTTAAATATTTAAAAAAACGGTTTGAAGAATAAATGCCGAATTGTAAATTAAAAAAAGGATTTCTTGTCAAACCACCAAACAAATTATGCTATCACAGAACTTATGTAGAACACAAATAAATGTAAAAACGAAAACCAACACCGGGTTCGACAAAGATAAAATGGCCGACACCGGCCGGCAAAACAGACACAGAATACTTGGTACCGACAACTTAACTGTTGTAACATTTCCAAATATGGAATAACCGATAAAGAAAAAATATTTTGGCCTTTGTTGTGAGATCTGTATATATATATATATATATATATATATATATATATATATATATATATATATATATATATATATATATATATATATATATATATATATATATATATATATATATATATATATATATATATATATATATATATATATATATATATATATATATATATATATATATATATATATATATATATATATATATATATATATATATATATATATATATATATATATATATATATATATATATATATATATATATATATATATATATATATATATATATATATATATATATATATATATATATATATATATATATATATATATATATATATATATATATATATATATATATATATATATATATATATATATATATATATATATATATATATATATATATATATATATATATATATATATATATATATATATATATATATATATATATATATATATATATATATATATATATATATATATATATATATATCGAAAGCTAAATATGAGATAACTAATGAGAAACTCACGTAAAAAAGTGAAGTTTGGCAACATAAATTTCTATTTAGCACTTCCTCTGAGCTGTCTGCTAAGTACCAATTACATTTTAAAGAGTATTTTATGTAATATTTTTTCAGATGGTTCAACAATGACCACTTATCAACGATGTTTTGACGTAACGTGGTGACCAACGATATCGACGCATGGTCACCATGTCACCTCACATCCAGTGGCCTACACCACTTTGACAATACCTACCATTCGCTAAGATACCTCCCGGAAGCATTTACGGTAACGGCACGCGGGCTAGAAACTTCGTTTAAGTTCGGATCCGCGAAATTGTTATCAGTAACAGCACTCGTGCTAGCGAGAAAAATGCGCAACAGAACGCCTTCTAGAAACTTCCTTCTTTCTTTGGTTAAGAGTGTTTTGTGGTGTTTGTTTGTGAGTTTTATATACATACTATTGTTGTAAAAATATAAATATGGACGAGGAAAAACTTCCTAAGTCGTTTAATACTAAAATAATTAGTGATAAGATTCTAAGGCTTCAATTAAAAGACAAAGCCGATGTTGAGGTAAGTACTTTATAATAAATTTGTTTCCTAACCTTAAAATAACGGATCAGTTGCTGGATAAAGTCTTTTGGTTCTTGGTTGTCTGGTATATTCAGGGTTGCCAATGCTTTTAAATAGTTAATCGCCCAAGGGATTATACAGGGTGTCCCAAAAAAGTGCCATAGCGTACTGTCAGTGAGCAGGAGATGGAGATGGATCCAATTACTGTAGAGAATTCGGATAACAAATTCGGATAATTTGCGTCATGGCAAAAAAATACCCGTGCAGCCCTCTACCATTTCAAGAAGAAAGTCATTGTTGTGTGGAAGAAGAGCTCAAACAGCAGGGAGAAGTACTAAAAGGCTTTCAAATAGCAAAACAAAAAATCCGCATTCGCTTGCCAAATGTGTTAGAGAAAATAAGGGACTGGGAGGAAATAAATTTAAAAAGTAATTAACACCTTTTTTTTAATAAGATAGACATAGGTCGCGATAATGTTTAAAATACACTTCATTTGTTTTTTTTTACGGTAAGTAACAAAAATGTAATTCTTCTATCTTAAAAAATCAATTTCAGTTACATTTTTGTAAGTATGTTTTATGCTACCTTGATAAGAATGTATTCTTTCTGCTGTGCATTTTTTTTTCAAATATAACACTGCTTCTATTTGTATTGGTATGTGTTTTAGTTTTGTTTCTAGCCCCCGTGTTATTACTGGTAACTGCTGTTAGCGCCAGTGTTGTTACTAGCCACGGCTTCGGAAAAACATATTTTCTAGCCGGCGTGCTGTTACTGTAAATGCCTCCCGGAAGGGCACTGAACGATTTCTCAACAAAATCTCCGAATATCTTCTTTAGGTATGCGGATATGGACTTGTGGTGACAGACACTTGTAATTATTCTATCCTAAGTTTTCAAGGCATTGTTAAGGCTTTTTCGGTATTTCCCTTTGCAAAAATGGCAATAAAAATTAATTGCCCGGTAAACAAAAACAAAATCACCTAAATTAACGACACAAAAAACCCAGTGGCATCAAACCAAAAGCGAAATGAAATGCACCAACTAAATACGATACAATAGAACGGCAATAAAAATGAAGAACCAACGTCGTGAGTCCATTAATTTCGCTGACTTTGGTTCGCGGAAAAATGTTTACATAATCTGGATATAAATAAATAAAAAAATGCATTAAAAATGTGTGATACAATGGACAAGTGATTTTAATGTTGTTGCGGTTGAAATTACTCCTAGGAGACGATTAGACAACGAACGTTTCTTAGAGGTGACTGTGTGGTATTTTTACGAAATCGCATTTTCTTGCATTAGTAAAAAATATGACAGGATCAATGAGGTAATGCGCAAACAACAAGGTCTGAAGCTTAAAGCTTGAAGATACCTTCACCTCCTCAACGATTTACGGGGCTAACTGGTGCTAATACAAGGAACCAACAGTTGCTATAAACTCTAATTAACTTTTTTGACTATTTGGATTGATGTCCATGTTTTTTCTCAAACTGTAAATATTTGCTGTTTCTTGGTAAGTAGTTTTATTTTTAGTGGGTTATTTGTTCGAAACATTCATATGTAATGTTTTTTTAATTTTTGTTTAACAAAGTTTATTATCCTATTTTTCAAATTTGTATGATGTGTGCGATATTGGCATAAAGTGACTCAAATTAATAATTAATAATTATACACTGATCGAAAAAGTAATTAACTAAATTAATTAAATTCGGAAAAAATAAATAGATTACACGTCGATCAACTTCTAGCGTTACTCGTTTATTAAACACTCGCCCCGTTAGTCCAAATCGAACTCGTGACTAAAATGGGTTATATAATATTGTTCTTGAGGAATTCAAATGTAAATCATACTTGTAGTTTTAGATATATTACATTTTTTTTATGCAACGCCCTAGCTAGTTTTGGGATATTTAATATCTTTAGCTATATATATTTTATATACGTAGTGATATATAAAAGGGATTACCTTCAATAGGGTAATAGGTATAATATATGCATCTTCCATCTGCGTATTCATCTTATTATCATCTATTTTTCAGTACCTTGGGTTTGAGAGTATATGTTTTTGTATTTCGTGTTTGCTTTAATGCATTTTAAATATTAACAAACTTTTCTGTAATTTTCCAATTAATATATTGGCGAAAAATATGAAAAAAACAGAGACTACCCAAACCTAATTACTTAAGTTGATTTTTACGCTAAGTATAATAGTCTCAACTTATAAAAAAAAGAAAAATATTCTAAAAATAGAAATAATAAAGAAAATAAAAATAATACAAATGGTTATTATATATATTTGAAATGCTAAAAAAAGTGAATGACTGCAAAAAAAAAACATCAAAGTATTGACCTCTACGTGAGACTATGATTAACTTCAGAAGGTTAATAATAAATATTATAAAATTTTGCATGTTGGTCTCTTTATTATTTATTTATTTTAATAATTTTATTATTTTTCAAAAAAAAAATGTTTTTTTACGATGCCATTAAAAAATGCTAATTTTTGATGTTGAAAATCGCTCGCTCCCGCAAAGTACATAAATTTTGATTTTAAACCAATCAAAACAATCAACACAAAGTGGGGAAGTGCGGTTCAATTTTGCTCTGTCATCCTAGAGCAAAGAAAAGCCATATTTTTCAAATTTTTTTTAGAGGCAACCGGTGCGAAGATAAGTAAAATCAGTTAATAATAAATAAATTGAAAATTAAACGAATCAAACACCGCTACGAAATATTTGAAGGCAGATCACCGGAATACCGATGGACGATTCATCTTTTTTTTTGTACTGTTGTCAGGCGAACCGCATTTATTACAAATTGTTTATAAAATTACACATTTAATAATAATTACGTACAATCTGGATTGTGTGTGTGTGTGTACGTACAAGGACGTGAAATATGTCGATTTATTTCGACTACGGTCGTTAATTTTAATCGCAGGAAAAATCGCCCGGCGGGGGGGGGGAGCACGTTGTCGCAAATTTTTCGGCATATTATTCTCAAATAATTATTCAAATTGCCGGCTCGCGCTTTTCGGGACCCGGATAAAGGAACCATTTTTTTTGTCGCGGGCAAATGAGTTTCCGTTCGAAATTTTCATTTTTTTATATTTTTTCGCAGAATCCGTCTAATGGAAATATAATTACATAGTTGTATACATGGTCATCAGATCAAATACTTTTAAACAATTTTGCACAAGGCAGTATAATCGCGTACTTTGAAACATTTTGTACCGTACATTTTTTTGTTTTTAAAGACATCAAGGAAAATAAGAACACAAAATAATTTTTGACATCTCAGTATTTTCAGGAATTTCATTGGTATTCAATAAAACGCGTTATTCTATTAAAAATAAGAAATTTTCGTATAATTTCATAGAGCACTGTGACTGACAGTTAGTCATTCCTATATTTGACATAGCTAAGCGATATTGATTATTATCGATAAGTTATTGGCACAGTTATTATTATTATAATTATAATGTTCTCTAAGGAGCTGGGGTTTTGGAGTAATAAACAGTAGGCAAAGTTAATAACGAGGTGCGGTTGTAAAAGCACTATATTTCTGGTCGAAGTATAACTGCTAAGCGTCGCGTCGCCAGCATAATCGCAGGATTTGCAAACGTATTCAGAATTAAAAAAAATAAAACAAATCGATGAAAGTTGCGTCGCTATAAGAAAACAAATAATCGAAAACAAATAAATGAAATAAAAACCCAAGGGTAGCAGCCGGGGTGGTGTGGTGTTACGGACACACATGTTTTCAACCCGCTAACTAGAGATCATTATTTGCATTTCTTTCAATATACTATGGCACGATATATATTAACGCAAAATATATGGCAGCAAGTCTTCTGACAATGTCATCTGGTTCAAAAACTTTCCTTCTATATATAGAATATCTATAACGCGTGGTTGACCAGCCATACATAAAAGATCAAGAGCACAGAACTCCTTGTCATAGTGTCGTGAAATTTCGGAAAATACAATGGCAATTGAATGTGTTGAACAAAATGGTGGTCAAATACAAACATTTAAAATACTAAAAGCATTTAATGTATTTTTATTGTTGCAAATTTGAAAATGAAAGTCTTATTATCAATCATTTGTAAGTTGTAAAATATGTATTTTTGCCAATATCTCGAAAACAAATGGAATAAAATATAAAATGTGTAAACAGAATAACGTGTCCTATTGAATATAGAGAAAATAGACAATTCGTTTCATTAAAAAAAAATATAAAATTGATTGAGATCCACGAAAACTGTTAGTGCATTACATGTTACTCGATATCTTTATAATCAAAACAGTTACAGCCAATAAAAATGTTATGAAAGCAGGGTACATCGCCTTTGCGCAGAAATTGTTGCCAATTTTTGATACAAGCGGCAACGCTGGGTCGCTAGAATCATTAAAGCGGAGTCAATAGCTTGAATGGCAAGACTCCAAGGTCCGGTTTTCCCAAAATGCCCAATGTTCTGTGTGACACCCGGTATGTATGGGAAACAGTACGTCTCTTGTCCGGGATAAAGTTCCATGTTTATTTTTGCAACTCCTGGGGCCGCGGAGATTACGTATTAATTAATTCCAAATAAAACGAACAAATAAATACTGCGGTTCATTTCTCGATCTTTTTTTATGCGTTTTGTATCCATAAGTTTCACCCGACTGATTTCCGGTTAATTTACAAATAGTTATTAAACGGTTATATTGCCACACCAATTATTTACTGTTATTAATAATTAAAAAACTTAATTAATTTAAATCCATTACTTAACAGATTAAAAAAAACTTGGTAAAAGCATTTAATTTATCACAACATTTTTATGCTTTGCTTAAAATGTTGTTCCGCTTTGAATTAAAAAGAAAACAAAAAAAAAGTGTATTTCAAGAATATAGGGTTGCAGAGGGAGATTAAACTAGTAGGTTAAAGTGTGTTTCCGGGAGGGTAGAGTAATAAAACTTCTCGTGCAGATTTTGAGTCATTTTATAGGTTTTCCCTATTGTTATCCATCCACAAGATAAAAAAGGCTTTATATTTTTTTTTACAACATTGTAAAGGAAACATTATTTTGATTGATGTTATTTTCTTCGACTCTGCAGATACTATACAGGATGACTAAGCGCCTACTGCATACGTCAATATACGTCACATGGTGCATCGCGCTTATTATAATTACCGATTCCATCTATGAATACTATTTCCTGCATTTTTAATGACACGGTTTTGTTTTACGACGACATATTAACAGGACAGTAAATAATATCTCGACGCAACACCGCAGACGACAAGTCCATAGTCAAATTGCGAGAATGTATGTGGTATTGGATACTTATTATGAAAAGCATGCAGCTTACGCATTTGGTAAAATGCAGTTAGTACGATGATTGATCTAAATTAAAAAAATTAAAATTAAATTCTTAAAAGAATAGAGAATCCGGGGTTTAAATTAAAAATGATTTACCATTAAATGATATTATTTTTACTTACTAGAAATATCACACCCAAGTCACTTATTAATTATTAATTAATATTAATTAACGGCGGTCCCAAAATACTGCCCTGTGCCACGCCGTCCAAAATATTGATCTATTTAAAATAATAATCAACGCATTTTTTTCTTGTAGCAATACTCGAGGGAGACACAATGGTCGACGAATCGACCCAGGTCAATTTTTCTACGGCCGGTAAAAACCAGCACAGGAAAATGAAGAGACACAATACGTCAAGCGACCTGTTGTACTCTCAGCACCTCCGCACGCTGAGCAACTCGTTTGTAAGTTTTTTCGAAAAATATTGAACCACGGTGCAATTGTGCAAAGATACAATCGTCCTCTGAAATACGTGAAAAAACCGTAAATAATAAATTTCCCGGGATACTTTTGATTGGCCCCCTGTATGAACTCGAATACGCGCCGTTACCGTGTCAATGACAACCTTAAACGAAGTCGCGTTAATGAATCGTGGCTTCCAGTAACCTTGCGGCTGAAACTTCACGCGGAAATTAATAAATGATCTTTAATTTTGACTATAGATATCAAACTGATATTTTCATTTAAAACAGTTCTAGTAGGAACGCATAGAAAAATAAAATGTAACAAAATATGAAACAGTTTTCAATGCATTGCATTGCACTCCAGACATATTGGTATTGGTATTGGTATTAAAGGGGGGCGCCCTCGCGGGCGTCCAAGCACTTAGGCCAGCAGATGGGCCCGTTGTGCCCCCAGGCCGCTCTAGAGGGCGTCCAGAATGCCGCCCCTCCTGTAGAAGGTCAGCAAATCCTTTAGCCCAATACCGTGCACTGAGTCCGGATCGATCAGGGCCGTTCCGAAGACTCCCAATCTTGCCCATGTCAAGGCAGGGCACTCGGTGAGCAGATGATACGGGGTCTCCTCCCCTTCCATGCACCACCTACACTCGGGGTCGTCTCCAATGCCTAGCAAGCAGAGATGCCTCCTAAGCCTGCAATGTCCTGTGTAGGCCCCTGTTAGTGCTCTACACTCCCTCCTGGTCAGTCTAAGCAGCTCCCTGGTCCGAGGAGCACTCCAGACATATAACAGCTTTCGGAACATTTTCCTTCCAAGATTTACAGTGTCCACATTGCCTCAATCTGCTACTCTGTTTTCACCGCAGATAACGCAAGACCAGTCCTCATCTTAAACGGTATTTGCCAAGCTGCTAATAGGTAAATTCACTGACAAGAAGGAGCTGGAGGCTTTGGGCTTTAAATTTCCTGTTGAACGACAGCTTAGGGTGGTCTGCATTAGGCGTACGGGCTTGGTTTTCATTTCAAATTGCTTTCATTGCTTGGAGGACGAACTGGGACCATTTCATTTGAATGGTAACCATCTTCGGTTGAGATCCCGATGGTTATCCGTCACTAAAAGTTGGTTTCAGCCTCTGCCCTTTAAACAATATCACTTCCTAATGCGTTCGCTTTTTTGGCAATGCAATGCAACTCTTTTCTTCGATTTTCTTTTTGATGTTTGAAGCCATATTTTTCGAAAACATTTTCAAGTTTTTCAAAATAGTCTTTAACAATGAAGAGATTAAGCTTCCCTTTTTTCTAAAAAACGCGGCCGTTCAACCATAAATTTTTATAATTTCGACCTAATAATACACACGGCAAAACACTGAATGCCATCAGTGGAAAACTATCGAACTTAATCGAGTATGCCGGTTTGCGTATTTAATTTAGGTAACAGACCAACACATAGATTGCGCCATAATACCTATGGGTCAAATGGGTTCATGGGCCCTATTACCCATAGGTTAAGTTACATTTTAGTTGCCATAAAACCCTTTGACTATAAAATAACCCGAATTTATTACCTTTTGGGATAGATCCAGACTGGGTGGGCCCATAGGGAAAAATTTCCGCATAATTCGAATCAAATTATACCAACTCAATCAAAAATTTAAAAAATGTAATGCAGAAAAAATTAACGATCAGTTTAGATCACGAACGCTGGTCCGCAATAACTATCGACTTCCATATAATAATAAACAATTAAAACCGAAAATGACGTTTGATGGCCGATTTCCAATCATTAAGCGTTTCGTGCGCCACCCCGCCTCGCCGGTTTCAGTGCGGTCGCGGCAGTTGCGCTTACTGTATCGAAAACTTCGGGTTTCGGCTAGAAAAATCGCGCGTCGATAAATCTGGCAATCGCGGTGGCCAAAATTTCTCGCGACCGTTTAACAAGGCGAATTTGAACAATTGGTGAACCATTTTTTATCCACCATCTGGTACGTTTTTTCTTTATTTTCTTCCATTTTCGTAGGTCCGTATCTCGAAAACTAAAAAAAATATATTTGAACACGTACGAACTACACGGAATGTTGCCTTGCCGTTTTTTTTTCATTTGTTTCCAAAACGTAATTAAAAAATTGATTTAAAATACGTTTCCAAAAGTAGTATTATACCTTCGTTGTTCATGCACAGTATAGTATTGAAATTTGCGTCTTTGTTGGCTGCTTCTATTTATGACGATTGTAAATCCGGTAATGCGTCTTCAAAAACGAACCATCAATGTCTCGAAAGCGATAAGTTGTTGTTCTGCATATTCCAAGATTCCCGTTTCAGGCCCAATTGAAACCCCTGTCGAGCCGGCCGAGGTCCCTCAACATCGTGGAGGCGTTCAACAAACCGAAATTTATCGCGCACGACGCACCGCTGTCACTGCTGTCCACCCCCGGCATGGATACGCCCCTGAGTTCGATATCGCGTGAGCGCACGCCGCCATTTTCCTGCAACTCGAGCACCGTCTCGAACGGCGCGTTGAACTTCAAACTGTCGACTCCCCCACCGGTATACGTGCCGTCACCTAAGGTGAGCGCACCGGATCCTACCGACTGCGCCGCTTAAAAAACTCGATTTTGCAGTTCAAGTCGCTGCAGGACGATGAGAGCACGGCCAGTACGGCGCGTTGCTGTTGTAGGTGTTACGACGTCGAAATGGGTTGCCACGGTAGGAAAACTGTTTCCAACACAAGGGAGGGTCTGTCGTGGAGGAGGTTGCACAAGTCGCGGGCGAAGTTGAAAGCGACCGCGACCACGTCAGAGTTACTGTCCGGGTTCGCGATGATAGCGATGGTATGGTAAAGTCCATTTAAAAAGAAAAGGCATGAATTACAACCCGATTTTGAGTAATATATATTTTCATGAAGTTTGATATAAGCTTCAACTACATATAGATGTTACAGAAAAAAAAAGAACATTTTAAAAATAAATTAAAAATTAAAATGTACTATATATTTTTGTACATTACTCCGTCGTCACTTGTCAATTTTAAGGCGACATTGCCAAGTTGTTGGGACAAAATAGTTAATATTTAAAACAATATTTTTTCCAATAATCTAGTAATGTCTTTCAATCTGCTGCCTTTATAATAGTAATACTGGACTTCAAACAGTTACTTTAAACGGAGTTTTCTGAATTCTCTTTCAAAATAGTAACAAAAGAGATATAAAAGGTATATACTGTGCAATATCTTGCGCCATTTTGATTTCCGCCAGTGACAGACACACACATACACAAAACGTATTTAGCAACTTAAAAACCTACGACCGTCTATATCAACACTTTTTTGTGAGTTTGGAAATTTCCCCTCCCTTTTAGGTGGAGCTTCAGATCAACACGCCGACCAACGTGCCCGAGTGGTTGTTTGTGATGTTCGCGGTGTGCACCACGGTTCTCGTCGCGGTCCACATTTTCGCGTTGATGATATCGACGTACATTTTACCCAATATCGAGTCAATAGCGAAGCTGGAGATTTGCGAGCTGATCACCGAAAGTCCCCACGAGCGGATGCGCGGGTTCATAGAGCTCGCCTGGGCGTTTTCCACCATTTTGGGTAAGCGGGTAAAGTTAAAACAAATCGAAATATTTGCGAAAAAAATAAAATACTTAAGCTATTCAAAATTTTCAAGAAACTGAATAAGGGTATTTAAAAAAAAAGAAATCGTGATATTATTGAAAATACTAATGTATATAAGTATGTAGTTCGACGTATGTAGTATATACAGGGTATTTTCTAATGAACTATTTCAACCTATATGCTGGTGTCAAGAAAGTTTCAAAACTGTAGTTTACTCTTATTAGTTAGACCTCTCAAAATAATGTTTACAATTATACATCAAAAACCATTGAAACTTTTCTAAAGAACTGAAAAATTGAAGAATAAAAAAACGTTCGAAAATAAAATATAAATACGAGGGCAGCGCCAAAATTTCGGTGGATCCTCTAGAAACTAACACAGTATCAATTATTATTTTAACAGATTTATTTATATAACTAATATTTGTGAAGCAGTTCCACCACCAGCTATAAAATTTTATCGAAAAATCAAACAATCTCAAATGTAATTTCCATTAAAAAAAAATTATCTGCGTCATAAAACCTCGTGCGAATTCTTGATGCTTTGGTGGATTCGCCGTAAATAACACCGTATTATTTAATTCTTATGTTAACTGATAATTTATTATTAGTAGTATTTCTGTGACAGTTTGATAACCAGCTATAACATTTGATCTAAAAATAAAACAATCTCGAATATAACTTTCATTAAAGAATGTCATCTGCATTTTCGACCTTTTGGAAGTTGTTGGTGGTTTTGGTGGATCCGCTATATACTTAAAAACCACATTTTGCAGGTCTGTTCCTGTTCATGGTCGAGGTGGCGATACTCTGCTGGGTAAAATTCTGGGACTATTCCTTCACGGCGGCCGTTGCCGCAACTGTAATAGTGGTGCCGGTGCTTATCACTTTTGTCTTGTTCGCCGCGCACTTTTACCACTCCCTGGTGGTCGACAAGTGCAACGCATCCATAACGGACATGAAAAAACTCGAAGAGATGAAAAAACACCTGGACGAGGTCAGCCAGCAGGCGCACATGTGACGTGTCCTTGTTTCGAAACGCCCCGTATATTTTTTCGGCAGTTTCTTCACACGCAGCCCCCACCTCGTTATGTGATATCGAAGCAGTATTGACCCTTTCCCTCTCAAACGTCCAGTTCCAGTTTAGTTCGTTCGTTTTTGACTTTACCTATTGTATTCCGTTGTACATTTTGTTTTATTTTTAAACCAACAAATGTACGGAGTGTTCCACATATACGATTCTCTATCCCCTTTTCCGAAAATAATTTTTAAGGGTTTTTTTACATTACCAACCAACCAACTTCTGTAACTATATGTTCATTTAGTATTTATTTCACTAATTATATATTATACATAGGAAATATAATCATTAAAATTATATGTGTATATAAAAATTGTTTATAACTTTTTAAGTTGTTAACAGTTGGTTATTGTTTTATTGTAATATAAAAGTTCCGTTAAAAAGAACGTTTTGGTTAGTTATTTTTTCACGGTAAGTGGAGGACACCCCGTATGTATCGGTGAATTATGCGCTTAATAAAATATAAACATTTCGACGGGATTGTGTTTTTCTGTTCCCCTATAAAATTAATTGACGAATTAATCAAGCTCTTTCATGTCCATTTTCCATGTTATTATTGCCAAGCGCAACAGACAACTATCAAACGATCTGCTGATATCCTCCACAATCCGGCAACGTCGCGCTGTCGATCTCGATCAAGGCCGTCGCGACCGATAATATTTTTGTTATTACTTCTCGAATTGACGCCGTGAGATTAAAAAAAAACCGAGATGCTAGAATACGTGAATCAATTCCGTTTAACGCGAAAACAGAGACGCGGGGAAAAACGATTTTTCGTGGACCCTCATGAATGAATGATTCGACACTTTAAAAAAATACACATTCCGATTCGCATTACGCGTTCGTTCATTGATCCATGTTAACTACTGCGACATCGACGCCGACTGTAGAATAGCATGAACGGTAAGTCCATAGTTTCAAGTTTTTGTCAAACGAATCGTTTTCCTTCAAATAATGTATGTTGAGTGCTGTGGTTTTGAAAGGGCTCGATTCTTTGTGCTTTGCAGTTTGTAGCTTTCATTAACCATGTTACCAGTGACCTTGTTTCTAATTCGTGTTTCTAACTTTTTGTGTGTTTGAGTGTCCAAGCTTCTGCTCCATATAGCAATCACACAATCGAAACATTCGAATTCTTAATTGTAAATTTATATTTATAGTTTTATTTCCTGTGATAGTTGACCAGCGCTATTGAAATAACTAGCGATATTTGAGGTTATGAGCGGGAACTATGAAATTAAACAATTTGGCTTGGGTACAGCAGTTGGTTTTTAAAAACTTACCAGTAATTTTAAAAATAGACCTCGTCCCAGGAAAACTTTTTCTTCTTTACTCTGTAACTCTTGATAACCATTTTTATCAAGTCAAGAACTAGAATCCATTGAAACGACCAACTGACTCAAGACTCAAGAGGAGTTTTCAAACCAAATAAAAACTCAATACAAATCTAAAATGAGTTAAAGCCTTTTCATTCAGTTTTTCAATCCGGACTTCAGATGGTCAAAATTTCAGAACTAACGTATTCCCTCATAAATACTTAAATCAATGTTTTTATTACAAAATATGTTACAATTATTATAATTAATTCCGAACAAATAATAACCTCACTGTAGCTTTAACACCTCAAAAATTACTTAATAAAACGGCCTCGCGCGACCACTCGGTCTCGACGGTCCGTGTCTCCTTTGGATCTCCAATATTTCCTTCCGTAACCTCTCCTCCTCCTTCCTCACTCTCTCGAGCTCCTCGTCGATCTCCTTTAGCCGTGCGTTTTCCTCCCGCTTCTTCATCTCCTTCTTCAGCTTTGCACCTTCGTCCAGCACTTGCTTTCTCGCCAGCTTCCGTTTTTTCTCCTCCTCCTTCAACGCCTCTAGTTCTCTGTCGTACTCCTCCACCTTAGTCAACATTTCCTCGCGTTCCCTCAAAACCTGACGCTGCCTCTCCCGATCTTTTTCCAGATTTTCCTTCACTTGCCGCTTAACGGTATCCAAAACCTCATCGAGCAACTTCTTCCTGCACGCCTCCTCCAGTCGCCACGCCTCCGACTGTTTCTCGTAGATCGCCTTCGCTTCCGAATCGAATATAAACTCCATGTGCTTTTGGCGTTGCTTCTCTAGCTCCTGCTGTTCCTTTACTAACTTCAAGAAGCGCGCGATTTCGTCTTTGATCTTTTTACGCTCGATATCGTTTCGCACGAGCTCTTGGAGCTCGAGCTCCTGGAGCTTCGCGCTAAACTCCCTATCTTTGACCAAGTTTTCTCTAACTTCTTCCGCTTTTAACTTTAACCTGCTCTTGTATTGCTTCACGTTGTATAAGACGCACTCTCTATCCAATCTGCGTTTGTGCTCCTCCCGCTGCTTCGCCTCCAATTCTTCCAGATCCAGTTTACGTTTCATGTCGCGCTCCTCCCTTTGCCTTAGTTCCTCGCTGACCTTTTGTCTGTCTTCAAGCTCGCGCATTTGAGCCTCTAAATCCTTCTTTAAGCTCAACTTTTTATGCTCTATTTCTTCGCGCAGTTCTTGCTCGACTTCCTTAGCCCTGGCGAGTCGCTCCTCCTGCTCCCTGATCGATTTCTCGTTCTCCCTCGCCTCATTCTCGTCCTGCATTCTCTTCTCGATCTGCTGGTCGAGCCACGAGAGCTTCAGGTCTTTGAATCGATACTTGCTCTCGTACTGTCTGACGATGGGGTTATTGATGCGCCACTGATGGTACAGTTTCAGCTCCGCCTCTTTCCTCCTCCTCTCCTCCTCCCGTCGTCTCGTTTCCGACGTCACGTCCTTTAGGATTTCGACGGGTACTTCGTCCCGTTTCGTCGGTCGCGTCAAGCTGAGGTTCTTCTTGACCATCGCCTCGATTTCGTACGAGCTCTGCTCTTCCTCCAATAACTTCCTCAACTTGTCCCTCCTACGAGCAAGCGCCTCCTCTTTGGCTCGTTTCGACTCGATAGTCGCGAGCATCTTATTGTTGTCCTCGTAATACCTGGGGGACGTCCACGCGTCGTACTTGGTGTTGACCTTGTCAAAGTGCTTGAAGTACCGCTCCGCGGTACTCCACGTCTGGTGACGCCTGGACTCCCTTTCCCGCCTCCGGATGATCTCGTTTTCTACGTCCACGCGATGCCGCCCCTTCGCTTTCGGCGGCTCGTCCGGTACCACCATCATCTGGAAACAACACACGGGTTCCAGGCGATTTCCTTTACAGGTTAGGTCACAGATTCTTTATTACGAAACAGAAATATTTGTCTCCGAATCAGAAGAGGCGTAACTAGTTTTGGGTGCGAACCGAATATCGAAACGTTGCCATAATTTTATCCAAAATATATTTTAATGTTTTTACAACTAAGCTTGCGCCTTCTTTTTGACAGAACAATACGAAAAATATTCTTTTTAACTTTGACTCCCCGTACATCGAAAACTGAAACACAAAGAAAATTATTTTTTCTTTTTATAGGCGCATAGTTTCACCTTATAACACCCCACCACACCATGAACGACTCGTTTGCGTCACGTTTGTGATTAACACCGACGCCAGTGTTGGTGAACTCTTTAAAACCGACCGGAAAAAATATTTCTCAAAATTACGTATCTATTACCGGCAATTATGCGTAATTTCATCTGTTAGGAATTTCAGAATTATGATTATATAACTAAAATAATAACGTTGAATATTATACAGGATGTTAACAAAATAAAAATCGAAATAAAATTCATTTTTTATTTTATTTGCACCTGCAAAAATAGTAACCAAAGTATTGAAAGATCAAGTATTATTAATTTAATAGTAAAACAAATAACTAGGTATGCAAATAAGAATAAAAAATAAAATATTGTCCAAAGCTTTCTTGTATACTTGCACATAAGGATATTCAGTAAATAAGTTCGTAAATCAGGGATATTAGTAAAATATTAATAAGAGATGAATTCTATATTGGTTTCTAACGTTATTTTGCTTAATACTTAAAATGGGTTTATAAGTAAGCCTCCTGGTTCATAGTCATGACCAAATATCTAGTATTATAAGTATTTATTTAATCATAAAATCATAAAAAAGTGGCAAATTTATAAATGCGAACTTTTTGTTTAAAATTTAAAAGGACATCACTGTGCGTAAGAATTATTAATTCATAAAATACTCATTATTCACTCAAATTTTATTGCTTGATAAGAGTACACCAATTTAAAAAACTTATCAACAATAATCTTTTATTTCCATTTTAGATATTACTAATTTATAACAACACTCTATGACGGAATATACAACTACAGACGCAAAGTTCAAAATATACCATTGTCAAAGACTTCTAATTTATAACATGTATATTTATGAAATAATCTTATCAATTATTGATTTTTATGGAGATTTTGGACATTTTTTAAATTACATGTTTTCCGGTTAACTTGCAGAATTGACATCTTTGCTTAGGACTTATCCTGCTTAATAAGTTTTTTGTTGTACGCGTATTACGATATTGTTTATCTACGCTAGTGTGTAGTATCACTGAACGTGCCCGCTTATCACACCCTAGCTAATAAACGCACATAAGCAAATCAAATTCATTGCCGTACGTGTAATTCTGGCACTGGGATTTACTGAGAAAGTGGTAAAAATAAAATGTTCGGAAAAAACGGGAAGTAACGGGACCAAACGTACCAACAATAATAATTCAATGGTTAAAAAAAAAAAAACGTAACGATTCCAACGAGAGGTCTGACCGCTGCAGGGGAATCACCGAATGGTACTTCACACGGCCGCAGATGTTTCGAAAACGCGTTCACTTTCGAAGAACAGGATCTACGCTGATTGGCGTGGCCCTGTATCTTTTTTTTTAACAGACCCCAAACTCAGCGCGTATACCGTCGACTTTTAAATATTCCTCGGTGCTCGCCTTTACCAATCCGGAATTTTTTTGGAAATTTTTAACACTACCTACTACTACTACTACTTATGGAAATCAACTTATCAATAAATAAATTCTAAAAAGAAGGTATTATTTAATAAAACCTTCGCATCCGTTATAAAACTGAAAGTAATTGGAAACCCACTTGAAAAATATTAGTGCGCCAGTGTCAAGTTTACTTACTTGTTATTGAAAGAAGTGCACTTAGTTTTTAATAAATAAAAAGTAAATAAATTGTGCAAACTAAAGAAGAGTTTGATAGTAACTGTAGAATATTTATTAGATTTATAAGTTTATAAGGAGGCGGAGACCATTTGGAGGCAATATTATAAAAGTTACAGGTGCTTTACTATTCACTGGATTTCCTACAAAACTTGTAACAGCTAAACTATAAAAACTCTTATAAGAGCTAAGGTTTCTTATAAAACCCTTAATTTATAATTAACCCTTAAGCCGCGAAAAACGTTAGTTGGTTAGTTTAGTCTAATCGTCACTTAACACGAGACGCCATTGCTTCCGATGTATCTCAATGTCGTACGCAAATCCCCACCACGTTTTTTTTATTATTGCTATTATTCGATATTTTATTTAAACAAGAGTCCGACATCACGCAATTAATTTTAACCAAAAAGTACCGTTTTTCACTTTTAAACAAACGGCACCGTGTCGATGACATATTGGTACTCTCTCGCGCGAAAACTCGTCGAAATAACAACAAACTCAACGAGGTTTCACGGGTATTCCCCACATAGATATCGAATTTTTGATTAATATAAAGAAAAACGACGAATTCGGGCGCATTAAAATCGTAGCCGGAAAGCCAAGCCAAAAATGATCAAATACTACGCGCTTTTTGTGCTGTTAACTTTGGGTAAGTGGTGTGCAGCTTTTTTTTTGTGCAATAATCAAATACTACGCGTTTTTTGTGCCATCAATTTTGGATAAACTTTTATTTAGGGACTTTCATGATTTTCAAATGTTTTCTCTAAAAAAATGGCTATAAAATTGAAATGCTTCGAAACTGGTAATGAAATGCCAAAAATGATCAAATACTACGCGTTTTTTGTGCCATTAATTTTGGATAAACTTTTATTTAGGGACTTCCATGATTTTCAAATGTTTTCTCTAAAAAAATGGCTATAAAATTGAAATGCTTCGAAACTGGTAATGAAATGCCAAAAATGATCAAATACTACGCGTTTTTTGTGCCATTAATTTTGGATAAACTTTTATTTAGGGACTTTCATGATTTTCAAATGTTTTCTCTAAAAAAATGGCTATAAAATTGAAATCTTTCGAAACTGGTAATCAAATGCCAAAAATTATCAAATACTACGCGTTTTTTGTGCTGTTAATTTTGAGTAAGTGATGTGCAGCTTTTTTTATGCAATAATCAAATACTACGCGTTTTTTGTGCCATTAATTTTGGATAAACTTTTATTTAGGGACTTTCATGATTTTCAAATATTTTCTCTAAAAAAATGGCTATAAAATTGAAATGCTTCGAAACTGGTAATGAAATGCCAAAAATGATCAAATACTACGCGTTTTTTGTGCCGTTGATTTTGGGTAAGCTTTTATTTAGGGACTTTCATGATTTTCAAATGTTTCCTCTAAAAAAAATAGCTATAAAATTGAAATCTTTCGAAACTGGTAATCAAATGCCAAAAATTATCAAATACTACGCGTTTTTTATGCTGTTAATTTTGGGTGGATGGTATACAGCTTTTATTTTTGGGATTTTGATGATTTTCAAATACAAAAGCATGGCTATAAATTTCGAAGCAGTGGGTTAATGCAATTTTTGATTTAATTAATTTAATTAAAATTTTTACCACACTGCTTTCTAATAATATATGTTAGAAGTGTATATGGGCTACTTTCGATTGAGGATTAATTTAATTTTAAAGCCATTTAACAAAACAGCTTCCAGGAAATATGAAGATAAAGATAAAGGGTAGTTTGTTACCTAAACTTTGGGTCAAAAGCGGAGAGCTATGTTATTACAAATATGGCGAAAAAATTATGATTTTATTTTTTATGTTAACAACACACTTTCTGTCTATTTTGTATTTTCTATAAATGAGTGAAGGGTTTGAATTAGACTGCCCCTATCATTTTTTACTAAATTCAAAACTTACGTAATAACCTAGAAACAAACAATTTCGATGAACCAAACAATTCAATAAAATATCTAAAGTAGTTTCAATGAAAATGTGGAAAACACATTGACGGACACTTGACGGAAGCACCCTGTATGGGAAATTAACTTCAGAGAAAATTGAACGCACATAAAAATCAAATTTATTAATTTACAATAACGAATCAATATAATTGAACTGCAAAAGGTTATGGAATTTTATAACAAACACACATGTTTTCGACAAAATACGCATACAGGAAAATAAGTTCTTTAAACACAGGGCCAGCGCAGCTACATTAGAAAATTTTAAGACAAACCAAGTTAATTTCAACTGATCGAAATATTACCATGCCACTGGGATAAATCACCCCGAAAATTTTTGAAATAAAAATTACTCGAAAATGGTTCTTCGGACGTTTTAGGAGCGAACTGCCGGATCGGCCTCGAGATAGTGACGAGGGACGAGTGGGGCGCCAGGCCTCCAACCCTGGTGGAAAACATGACCAACCCAGTGCCGTACGTCGTCATACATCACAGTTACCTGCCGCCCGCTTGCAGCACGGGTTCGGAATGCATCGCGGCCATGAAATGGATGCAGGACTTACATCAGGTACCGTTTCCTTACTTTCTTTTCATTAATTCCAATTATCGACAAAAAAAAATTGTAAGTTTATTTAATTAATTTAAAAAAATAATTAACGCAGATCAACAACTCGTGGAACGATATCGGGTACAGTTTTGCAGTCGGCGGGGACGACAGGGTGTACGAGGGAAGGGGGTGGTCCGCGGTAGGGGCCCACGCCCCCTCCTACAATGACAAAAGCATCGGCGTGTGCATCATCGGCGATTGGAGTGGTAAGTTTTTTGGAAATTCGAAACGCAACCAAATTTTTCACAACCAACTGTGATAAGATTTTCAAAAAAATGAAATTTAGATCGAGATATCGATTAGCGGGAAGCGAAACAGGTCGAGATAAATTTCCAAATTGATGCGCAATATTAAAATAGGTCTCTGTCAACAGACTTATTTATACAGACTCACTTACCTTGGCGTTTATTTGCACGACTTTAATGTGAACCTCTTCCCTGGAGGCTAATCGATCGCCTAGAAAAAAAAAACGGAAATCATCAAAAAGTTCGTCCAAACTTAATTTATTTTTAAAATTTCAACGTTCTCCTCGGCGGTCGTCATATAATGGTTGAATTTTTAGTTTTCATCGTTTTTAGGCAACCAGGAGGCAAAAGTATAAACCTAAACCAAAATTATAAATTAAATAAATTTATAAAATTAATTATTTTTAAAAAATCAATTATAGAATAAAACTTAAATTTAAAAAACCTTTTTTTTTTAAATATTGTAGAATTTCAGGGAAGAACACATAAGTTGCTTAAGGGAATAAAAACCTCAATCGAATTTTCCAAAAATATAGATAGCATTTTCGAAAAATATCTTGCAAGGGTGGAAATCAGTTTGAGTAGTTTTTGTATACTATGTTTTGTATTACATGAATAGAATATAAAATACCAAAATATAAGGTTATTTAAAAGACTCATCCGGACGATATACAGTGTTTTCAATTAAAAAAAAACTTTAGCTCGTGCCTTAAAAATAATATCTTTTACAAAAAATATGATCAATTCTGCTTTCCCCTGTATCTAAAAAACAACGCCAACAAGGACTGTTTTGAAGACGCCATATTTTGTATCGCGGAAATACCTCGTAATAACAACGAAAAATGCACACACTGCACAAAAAAACAATTTATTTAAAAAAAAATAAATCAAAATGATGTGAATTTTTATATTTTGCTAATTTAATTGTTCATTGTTCTTTTTCGTCAAGTAAAAAATTAATTATAAATAGTAAACATCAAAACTTAGTTATTTTCGACTTTTAATTAATTTAATTGTTCATTTTTCGTTTTATCGCAGCAAGACATTCAAATTTCTAAAATGATTTTTATTACCACACCACAAATAAAATTTGTCACGTATTTATTTATCTAATCGTCAACAACAACGCGAATTTAATATGACAATATTTTTTTTCTCCGCCTACCACATCCTGGAATATATAAACATTATATATATATATATATATATATATATATATATATATATATATATATATATATATATATATATATATATATATATATATATATATATATATATATATATATATATATATATATATATATATATATATATATATATATATATAAAACGCAAATAATTTAGTAATCCACTACGGATAATTTTTTTTCCGAAAAATCTGACAGCGCCACCACGGCGTTGCATATATAAATCCGGCCATTTTCATTTTCCTTGCGCGCGACATATGTTTTCGAAAATTCGGCCAAATTTTCATCGCCGCAGATATCTAAAATTATCTAGAAAATCATCGACGTAAATTATTATTATTATATCCGACGCAAACTCCGAAAATATCTTATTTTGGACGTTTTTTTTTGCAGACGAGCTGCCCCCCGCGGGCCAACTTGCCACCGTCAAGCGGCTCATCGCTAGAGGGGTCAAAGAGGGTAAAATAGCGCGCGACTATAAACTCGTCGGGCACCGGCAAGTGCGAGAGGGTAAACCGCTTTTTTTATATTTTTCTCATCCATCTAAAAAACCCAAGGTCGAAAAAATATAGTCACGATATTAATAAGTATTTCAACCAATCAATCAATTGTTTTAAAATCTCTGTGGCATTACGCAACAAAGCATAATAATCATTAAATAAAAACATTTGATTAAAAAGTAACCAAAACTATACTAAACTGCATTGTAGGGACAGAGTGTCCAGGAGATCGTCTCTTTAACGATATCCACAATTGGCCCCATTTTACTAGCGATCCAACTGGAATGGAATCGACCAAGCCAGATGTGAGAGAAGAACAAGAACCACCGTTGTGGGACGAAGACAATAAACTGAAGAAACGGAGCTCTTGAGCTGCGTCGAAACGGACAGGCGTGTAGAAAGACATTTTCCGACATTTGCTCGCGCGAAATCTGAAGGTAGCTTTTGGCAAAACATCAAAGTATTACTAAAATAAATAAATAAATAAATAATAAATAAAATTACTTTTGCAAATTTTAGCTTTTCTTTCGGCTTTTCCTTTATACCTGAAAAAAAAATTTTTTCAAATGCCCAAAATTATAGGTAAAATAACAAAAAAGGGCAATGTTTTTGAGTCGAAAGAATAAAGAAGTCGCCAAAATATGACAGTTTACAGTTTGAAAGTAAAAACCTTTTTCTCGGTATAATTTTTAGCAAACTAAATATGATTTTTGTTGGTACGTCGCATACCCTGTATAATATAAATTCAATATAACAATAATCCATGAATCCTGATTGAAGAATGGGATTTTCCTTATTGAACGCTTTATTTTCAATGGACAGGTTATTAAAATGTATATTTACCAAGATCTCGATTAATTAGTTTAATTGACCTACATTATTCAAGCATCAGTTGTGTGCAGGTATCATTTAATTGAATAAAACAAAAATTGTTGTTTATTTTAAATAAAAAATTTACAAGAGACAAAAATTAGACGTACCATCATCCTAACTGCGAAAAGTCAACTTCCAGTCCATAGACGTTCGTCCGAAAAATTAGGGGCCACATATTTTTTATTATTTCTTTGTCTTTCTGATACACAAACTGTGTTTAGATAAAGGCGTGATATGCACCAAATTTCCATTATTTTAGCCAAATGGATAATTGGTTACTTTCTATTCTATTTCTATTATTTCAATATTATCTACAAAAATGCAACATTAATTAACCAATAAATACGTAAATTAAATTAATGCATTACTTGATCAATCGGTCGATTAATTAAATTAAAATTAATCCGGACGAAATCTCAGAAATCCGTAAGATCCGTGAAAAAAAAAATAGCGACGCGTCACGCACGGCGTCGCGACGCGCGTTTCCCGAAATAGACGCCAGCTATTTCAGTAAGTCGGCAGCATTCAGAAAATGTCCGCTCGACAGCCGCATGAAAATACCTGAGGAATTGTCAGATTGAAGTTGTCGCTTCTAATTTTCGAAAATACAAAAACGACGGTTTTTTTTCTTTTAAGTTTTCGACGCGAACGAAAGGCGTCTTTTTCCGAAGGTGTGGTGCGTGAACGTCCAACAAGAAAGTGCGCGTCTAGTGCAAAATTGAAAGTTTTTTTTTCGGAAAATACGTACCGTTCAAGGTGAGTAATGTATATGTTTTTTGCCATTCTTTACCATATCCCACAGAAAAAACAAAACATGCGACACACAAAATCGTCCATCAGAGTGAGCGAGAGCTACAATACTCAACAGACCAATTATACAGTTACAAAAAAGAAGAAAATTTATAAAATTTAGCAGTACAACATAATATAATCAACAAATAACGTCAAGGGTAAATAACAAAACGAAGTACGAGCCATCCCGGTGAAAGATTGCGCAGGGTATAAGGGCTAGCGTTAAAAAGAGTTTAGTTGACACAAAACTCATGGTCGATGAGGCTATTTACAATCTTATATACAAAGAAAATATCAAAACGCTGCCTTGTGGACTTGCGATTGTAAGCGATAACGGGGCAGTGTAAATTCCCATTGTAAGAGAGCCCTTGCCCATAGAAACAAAAATTCAGAGCATTAATGCGGTACATAGGACTCTAAACTATCGACAACATACACCAGGATACTTCCTACCTGACTTCAGCACTAAAGATGCTGGATTCTTAAAAGAATGCGTGACAACGATTCGAGTTTTAATACCTTTGAAATATTTTTTATCACATCACATCAAAGATACTGCAAAAAATGATAAATTTTCAGACTTTTAATCTAGCTATTGAGACACTTAAACAGATTCATCGTTTTATAAACAGGCACTCAAAACGCAATCAAAACCGTTACACCATGAAAGAGCAGGATTATTCATTTAAACTTCTGAATAGCTTTTAATCTAGATTATGACTTTTTAAAAAATGGCGACTACAATGTCCTTTATCAAAATTACTTTAGCTTCTGAATTCAACAACACCTTTAATCTGTTTTAGCGCCATTAAACCATGAAAGACACCGCCAAACCGCGTATAAAGGTTTTGTGAACACACATTAAAATAAAAATTTTAAACATGTTTAAACACTTTTAAAAAGTGTAGCTAATTTGGGCATAAACACGTTTATGAAGATAGCTTTTAATCTAGCTATTGAGACACTTAAACAATTTCATCGTTTTATAAACACCCACTTAATGCTGCAATCAAAACGCCACTACACAATTAAAGATGCACAAAAGCAGGGTTATCCATTTAAACTTGTGAATAGCTATTAATCTAGCTATTGACACACTCAAACAGTTTCATCGTTTTATAAACACGCACTTAATGCTGCAATCAAAACGCCACTACACAATTAAATATGCACAAAAGCAGGGTTATCCATTTAAACTTGTGAATAGCTTTTAATCTAGCTATTGAGACACTACACAATTAAGGATGCACAAAAGCAGGGTTATCCATTTAAACTTGTGAATAGCTATTAATCTAGCTATTGACACACTCAAACAGTTTCATCGTTTTATAAACACGCACTTAATGCTGCAATCAAAACGCCACTACACAATTAAAGATGCACAAAAGCAGGGTTATCTATTTAAACTTGTGAATAGCTTTTAATCTAGCTATTGAGACACTACACAATTAAGGATGCACAAAAGCAGGGCTATCCATTTAAACTTGTGAATAGCTTTTAATCTAGCTATTGAGACACTTAAACAGTTTCATAAACACGCACTTAATGCTGCAATCAAAACGCCACTACACAATTAAAGATGCACAAAAGCAGGGTTATAAGATATCGCAAAATAGTGTCAGAAATTTGAACGTCTAGGTAGGTTTTAAGCTTATGGGTTTATAGACCTTTTAAACAAGTTAAAAAAATGTTGCCAATTGGCACGTTCATGAAGATAGCTTTTAATATAGCGTTTTAGTTCAATCACAACTCCATATTTACACTTAATGAGGAGAAGGAAACGCATTTAACTGCGAAAGGTATCAAAAATTAAAAGACACAGCAATTTGAAGCTTTCGAACATTACTCTCAACTTTTTCAACAATTTCCTCGCTCTGTCGCTAAAAATTAGCCTCAAAATGTAGTAAAACATCACATTTTTCGATAACAGCAGAACAGAGGACTATATCGTATTCAAAACTTTGATAAATTTTGGCACGCGTTATGTATGCGACAGAAACCAAAATAGAAAGTCCACGAGAGGAAACCGAATCTCGCGGTCATTTTCTAGTTAGGTGGACGCAAAAACGAGAAGGTACGCGGCCATTTTCGATATGCCATAGCAATGGATAAAAATCATTTTAGACGTAGCGGATTTCTTCGTGAGTCGAAATCCGGATTTTGGCTTTGCGCGTTCGCCTTTGAGTTTACATAAAAATCTTTAAATAACTGCCGGGCTAGAGGCGAATTCCGTTGCACATACGGACGCGATCACTCGAAAATAACGCCGATATAATTTGGTTCAAACTATACCGCTGACCTTTAACCGCACCTGAAAACGCTTAGGGCATTTTGAATAGCACTCATAGATTCTAACCTACAAGGGAAAATTGAAAAATTGGCGATTTAAAAAAGTGGTGAATAAAATAACGCCTGTAGAATTTGAAATCAAAGATCAGAATCTTGAATACGGACCTGGCATTTTGGGGCTTAATGTATATCTGTTTTCCTATGATGGTTCAATTTAAAATTTAAGATATTTTTAAGCTGCCAAAATTGTAAATTTTTTTATTATATTGATATGTTGTCACAAACATCCCATTTTCTACAATTTTCTACAAATTTTATAACTATAAATCACAATTTAGAATCCCAATTTGGGTGTTCAAACCAGGACGTTAATTTTTAAAATATTCAAACAACCATTTTATTATAAAAATACCAAAAAACAAATAATAACAATAAGAGGATCGTATTACCAAATATCTGAAAGATAATATTTTTCGGAAAATAAAATTTAAATTACAACTTAAAACGGATACAAATTACGAAAAAAAAATAGTTCTGACAATCCTGAAGACACAAAACAAACTTTGAATTTAAACTTTAAACACGCCATTTTATTTGTATATTCAGAATTTTTTCTACTCAAAAGTGTTGCATACTATACTCTTTAAGTCGCTCGTTTATTAAACACTCGCTCCGTTTGTGCCAAATAAGCTCGTAACTCGAAAGTCGTTTGCCGCACTTGTTGCATAATATGCTATTTTAAAATAGCCAATTTTTCGATTGTCTCTCGTGGCTGAGAAACTACAAGCGCTTTTCAAAATGAATACCCGGAACAGCGACGGCATATGAAGAATATCATAAAATAATATTTTTAAATATAATCTTTTCTCTCATCGAATTATAAAACACGCTCGTCTCAAAAATTGCACATTTTACCTAAAAAATCATCCCTCAAGACGGACAAATTGCTTAGTACGTGAGATGGCGATTTGAAAAATTATCCACGACTACTTTTCATAAAACTTCTAGATTCCTCCTGAGTCGGTTTTTGCAAAAAAAAAAACAGTACGAACGTCAAAATACCAACTTGACTAAAGTAGCAGTGTTTAATGAACCGACTTGAATCTGGGTATATATAATTGATTAATTAAATAAGACTGTAATAAAACAACCAACACCCTGTAGAGAAGACCTCGAGCTTAATTTCCTGTATGCTCTCAAAGCGAAACGACAAATTACGACGGCAATATTTTGATAAACAATTCTGATATGAAGGCGGCTTCGGATTTCCAATCCCGAAATATCAAACTCAACCCTCGCAACTTTTTTCCGAACACAACATATCGCAAAATCTATTTTCGTCGGGAACATAAACCGTCGGTCGCCATTGGCACCAAATCAAAAAATATTCCATACAAAAACCAAAACAAAAGTCGAAACTCTTACTACTACTATACCTATAAAAAAATGTCGATTCAAATTTTTATATGCCAAAGTTCTAGAATACCATAGAGGTCACCGTCGAGGCTTCTATGAATGAAAACTAAAAGAATCAAGGGTAGTGAGGTAAATTAACTCGTGTCCTTCCAGGCCACCACAAGAAAAATACTAAAGTAAAATTGTCTCTCTACAAGATAAAGATAGTATATTATGCTATCTACGACCGTTAGTTTTTGGGTACATGTTCGCATAACAACACGAATACATTCACTGACATGACCGTCACAATTCAAGGCGTAGGAAATATGTCCGAAAACGTCCGATTGCTCCCGAACCCGTGCGGTAAAATCTCGGAAACGTCCGAAGTTGCTAGAATCCGTGGGAAACGACGCTTCCCGGTGTGTAATTATTTATTTTACAGACGGGAGTAGGAAAAATACTTTTCGGCAGTTTGGTGCTGTCCTGTTGGGATTTTGAAATTTCGGCGTTTTTTTTTAACTATTTTTAGTGCATTTGAAGAATATTAAACTCATTAACCAAACCAGTAAACCAATAAAGTACTTAAATGAGATGAATTTCTGATGCGCTAATGCGTTAGGTTGCACAACTATTACGGTTTGGGACACAACGTCATCGATTGCCAACACGAGAAAAACGTAGTATTAAGTATCTGGCAACGTGACAGCGTCAATACTAACGTGGGAATTAGAAAAATCGCGCTTTTACGCTACATAGAAAAACACTCGAAAAAAGTATTTTCAATTCTCCCGCCACTTCTAGTACATTTTTCCGGCAGGTTCCCATGAGAGATGCCGACCGGAGAGAAGGGCACAGCGAATGCCGCGCAACGAACGACGTTCCGACCCCCGTGGGTCAAAGATGGTCCGGAAACTGTTTCCGGGGCCGGTAACAACAGCTGGAATTCGAAAAACGCGAAAAAACGGGACAGCACGTCTTCCTCGGACTCGTCGGGCGACGGCGGTTCTAACCCCATAGGTATAAGGAATGTTGGCTGGGTGCGGAAGCCGGACAAATTGAATATCACTCGAGGGTTCGCGGAAAGAACACTTCTGGATATCAAATTCAGAAATTTTTCACTAAAATTTAAAGCAATCAAAAATTAAAATAAATCGCGTTATTTGCCACGCCCTCGCAGGAAAATGTATTAAAAAATTGTAAGTACTAAAATAACAATAACAAAGTAAAAGCGAAAAAATATTAAAATCTATCCGTAAGTACTATAAGAATAGCCATCAAACCTAGGAAATAAATGTAACTATAATGACTGCACAAATACATTCATAAAACGATGCAATAATACACTCAAACCAATAGAACAAAAAATGTTATTAGGCAGAGTTGTAGTTGTAGAGTTGTACCTGAGAGTAGTTGAGAGTTGTAGAAAAAGCCTCCGAATAAATAACAACAGCATTTCTAATTTTTTTTTATTTAATTTTTTTATGATAATAATAATATAATATGATAAAATGATATTAATATTCTTATATTGATAAAAATTATTCAAATAAAATATATCACTGGTACGACATATAATACCTAACTGTTTATAAGTGATCAATTCATTTCAAGGAAAATTGTTGATAAACATGGCTTACAAATTCTGCGGATATTGTAAAAAACAACTAATTCTGAAAAAAATAAGTAGGTTGTCGTGAAAAAAAAAGGTACCACAGACAACTACAAATACAACTAATAACCGAACTGATGTAGCTTTTACTTGATGAAAATCCATTTATCAAAATAAATAATTAATATATGGTAGTTGAAAAAGTATTGAGTTATAGTGAAATATATATGCCACTAAACTGAAGTTACTTTTTCAATAGCAGTTTTTGTTTAACACAAATTCAATTTACTTGTAAACCATATTTACCGACACTTTAAAAAAAAAATCACTGAAAACAGAAACAAGAATAAAAAAATCCAAATTTGTTATGACTTTCGGGTAGATGAGGCAACACTGCAACAGTGACAACAGGGTTTTAAAATGCCAAAGGACTATATCGGCGAAATCTACTCAATTTAGGTATACACATATCCAAACTGTAATTTGACTCAGTTTTTTATAACTAATCATTCGAACAATTAATATATCGCAGTTCAAAAAGTATCGAGTTATAATGATGTATGTATGCTGCTAACCTGAAGTTACTGAAGCCATATTTAATGCCACTTAAAAAAATATATCACTGAAAACAGAATACATGAATAAAAAAATCCAAATTTGTTATGAATTTCAGGTAGATGAGGCAACACTGCAAAAGTGAGAACAGGGTTTTCAAATGACAACCATCGTCTCCTGTACCAAAAATTTGATAACATCTTTCTCGGTTCTCTAAATACTTATCTAGACTTTATCTATTTGTTTATTTCTTAATGCTTGCAAGAATTATGTTTCTAATCCCGAAACTCGAGTGGCATTCACAAAAAAAAAAAAAACGCCCGTTTTGTATTTTCACCGACATCTCATACAATGTGACACGCCTTGTACATTTACAGCCAACGTTCAGCTACGAAAGGTGCAAACCAAAGAACCGCAAGAAAACGAAAATCTCTCACAAGACAAAGAGAACCCCCTAGGTAACGTCATCGAAAGTTTCCAATTAAAAGAAAACATTTTTCTAAATTAAAGACACGGAAAAAGAAAACGACCGCTTCAATTGTGTAACTAACGTCTCGAGATAAACGCCAAACTAACAGCAACGGACATCTCGAATCGTCCGAATCCATTTAATGAAAGTTTGATTTTTTCAGAAACGATACAATTAAGAAAGGTGAGAAAGAGAGAGCCGTATGACAGGGAAAGTTTTCGAAAAGAAAAAGAAAACAATCCATTAGGTAATTGGTAAATAATGTTTTTGGCTTCGCGTCGTATCTATCTTGTCACTAAACCGCATCACTACAAACCTAACACTTGTCATTTTCACAATTTTGCGTTTCATTTTGTCCATTTCGGCAAAATAAAATAACATATGGAATTAACTAATTAAACTATCGTTGTTTTTTTTTAATCAAGGATAAATATTTTTCCCCTGTAGCTGGCGTTCAGCTGAGAAAAACGTCGGTGCAAACGAAGGAGCCGCAGAAGAATGGCGAGGAAAAGGAAAGTTTTTTCAAAAAACCGCAGCTCAAACCGGTGCCGCAACGGGAGAAATCCCCACCGAAAAAGGTAAAACAATAAGCGTTTCATCTCTCCCCCCTTCCTCGAACGCGCACAACTCATTTTTACAGGACCATAAAATCCACGACCTGCCCAAACTGAACAGCGTGTCCGAGAGGAAACTCCCGGAAAGGAAACCGTCGTTGCTGAGGCGTGAAAGCACGATAGAAGATATGGAAATTGATAAGGTAAATCCATAGAAAAATCGAAAAATAAACGCGACAATCTCCGACCAAACGAACATTTAATCATGACGGATAGAGCTTACCATTTTCTAGTGACTGTCACTCAACAAGTGTTTCCGCTTTGTAAAATTTTGGTCTGAATATTGACTGCAAACGCTTGTTAGAACTAAAGTACGAAGTACTTTACAAACTGTACACTCGCAGCTTACGACGAATGTAAAAGGGAACTAATCGATCATATAGTGTAGACTCTCATGGTCATACGAAAAGCTATGGCAAAAAACTTGTGGTATTGGTTATATAACCAATGTACTTCCGATGTGCGAATTTAAACCGGTAACAGTACTATACACTGGCTCCTTATGAGTGCGAATGCAAAAAGATGCGACTGATTCTGTACACTCGCAATACGAAACAATATAAAAGGGTATAAGTGATAGATGATATATTGCACACCCTACATAGTACCAATGAACGAATTTAAAAGGACAATAGTGATATTATACCGTACACTGATAGAACGCAAAAGCGTGCGAGTGATGTACTGGGTTGTTCACAGCAGACCATTTTTAAACAATATGGCTATTGTCCAGAAATCGAATGATAATTATTTTTAAACCGAAATATGTCAAAAACGGTTTGGGTTCGTCGTTTGTTTTTTCGGCCATTTGCATAAGACAACAGAGCAAAAATCTCCAAACTTTTGTATTTACACTTTTTTCCAATCTTTCAAAATTGACTCTGTAGGTGGGTGTCAAAATATACTGAATAGCCCAGTACATTATACCACCAATCACTCGCACGCTTTTGCATTCGTTTTTTCCTGCGAGTGTACGGTATAATATCACTTGATACTATGTAGAGTATATATGCAATATATAATTGATCACTTATACCCTTTTATATTGGAAGTTTCGAACTGCGCTATGAGTGTTTTGCATTCGTACTGATAAGCAGTCAGATTATAGTACTATATCACTATTAGCCGCTTAAATTCGCCCATTGGACCCACAATGATTATATCACCAATCAATTTCGTACTATGCTTAGAGTATACAGCATATGTTCTACCATTTGCAAGTTTTTACAATAGCTAACCCTGAGAGTCGATTAGCGCCCTTTTACATTCGTCCTAAGCTGCGAGTGTATAGTTTGCGGGGTATGGTCTGTTCATAGATATAAGAAAGTGACTGATTGCTTTTGGATGGGACTATCCAAGGGTGGTCATTTACATACAATGCAACAAGATTATTACCTAGAGTTTCGGAATTTAAATTCAGGTAAAATTGTGGTTTGGTATACTACTTAGTTCAAGTTTATTAGTAATCATTCTTATTTCGTGTGTAATACAGCGTGTGTTGAATCGTGTGCGAATTATGCAAAATATGTGCGAGTCTAGTGTATCTCGGGAGATGCTCCCGCCCAAATGTAGAAAACACGATTTTATTGAGACTAAGGAAGTTTTAAACAATGTTTATTTGACTCTCATTGAACGTGGTGCCAGCAAGCAAGCATCTTTAGAAGAAAAGGCCACATTGACGAAAATTCCAACATCAACTGTATGGAAAATTGTGAATAATCCCATTTTAGCGAGGAAAAAAAGAAGCGATGCTGACCTCTTCTCGAGTGTAGATGAAAGTGATCAAGATATAATACGGGGTAAAATTTACCAGTTATACGAGGAACAAAGCGTGCCTACATTAGATATCTTAATTAGGAGGCTTGAAAAAGATGAAACCGGTGTTAAATGTGGCAGAACTACCTTATGGAAGTGTATTCAACACATGGGTTTTAGATTTAAAAAAATTGACAAAAGGCAAGTTGTAATGGAATCTTTTAGAAATCGGAAATGGTCACTGGAATATCTAGAAAAAATTAGGATTTACAGAGAACAAAGGCAAATTATTCACTTGGATGAAACCTGGTTCGACACTTATGATACCCAGGAAAAGATTTGGGTTGACTCAACTGATAAGTGTAAAATAAACGCGCCATCAAAAAGAGGTAAAAGAATAAATATTTTGCATGCTGGCTCTAAAGATGGTTTAATTCCAAATTTCAAGTTATCACAGTAGTCAGTTGACTAAAACCCCTTCCTCATGTGACACAAAAGCAACAATTCAAAACTACTTTGATAAAGACTCGGTGTTGTCGACACAATTGTCATGTCATAACATATAATTTCGTGAAAATCTGAACTTTTAGTTCTTATTTATTTTGATAAAAGGATTTTCATCAAGTAAAAGCCACCTCAGTTCAATTTACACGACTGTATATTTAATCTCATTGAACACGTTTGGCACTAACTGAAATCTGCCATTCGTCGTAACAATGTTTTTCCCCGTGTTAACTCCACTGTCCTCAAACTTATAGAAACAGAAGTTTTTAACATCCCTCCACAAAGTCGGGCACATTCTGTTAAACCTATAGAAAAAGCAGAACAATCGTATATCCATATTGTAAATAATATAGAACAAATAATAATTAGAACAGGCGATGATAGCGATAGTGATACTGATATATTATGTGAATAATTTTAATTAATTTAAGTAGGTAATAAAAATAATTTGTAATTTTATTTTAGATTTAAACATAAATACATACATAAATAAATAATACTGTTTAGTATATTTCCTAACAAAACTCCAAATAATTAAAGTCTAAGCAAAGTACGGACCTGTTCGGCCATATTTCATTCTTACAGCTTGCCCGGGTCTTTCCTTAATTCGTATCAGTTAGTCACTTTCTTATATCTATGAACAGACTTTACTCCGTACTTTCGTTCTAAGCGGCTAATGTACAGTACATCCGCGATGCGAATCGAGCGACGTGTCGAAATTACTCTTGGTAAGTTGCTGGTCGTTTTAATGAACTTATAGAAGTTTGAAACGGCTACACGCGAATCCTCGATAAATCGTTGTCTGAATGGAAAAACGAACCTTGAAATGCTCGTGAATCGCGACGCCGGCTCAAGAAGTTTAGCGAGCGAATCCATCGCTATTTATAAGTACAGAATGCCCGATCGGTTTCGGACGGCGCAGCGACGTCGATCAGTTCGATATTTGCGCGTATTGCGAGACGAGACGGGCTTTTTTCTATACCCCGTAAATCGACCATGAAACCGTGATTTTTCACAAAACGCAAAAGGTATTGGCCGAATTAAAAATAAAATTTGCTTAAAGCCGTAAACGGTAAGGGGAAAAACGAAGGCCTCATATACAGGGCGTTAAGTAGTACTGTGCGTGCGCGAAACTGAAACCGCGTGCGACCGCCCACAGGAGCTGCCGGCCAAACGGAATTCGGTGGTGCGCGCGGAATCGATGCGGAGACTGTCGCAGACGCCGGCGCCGCCCCCGATGCCGCCTCCGCCACCAGGCATGCCTGGCGATCCTAACCAGAAGCCGCTCACCGACAAACAGCGCCGGAAGCTGGACAAGCTTAAGTAAGCCACTGTGAGTAATTTTAAACGGAGAATCGATGAAAATGTGGGATTTTTTCCAGGGCGAGGCCTAAGGTGCGGCCCGATTGGTCCGCGACTCTCAAAGAAATCGAGGGCGGCAAGAAACTCAGACACGTGGAGTGCAACGACAGGTCGCAGCCGCTGCTTCCCGAGGCCAAAGCTCAGGAACATTTCCTCTACGCTAGCGAGAAACCGAACGTACACAACGAGCTGCTCAAACAGGTGAGTGACGCGAGATCGACTCCAGACCATCACCATATATCTGCCGCCTCCGTTTTCAGATCGAGGGTGGCATAAAATTGAAGAAAGTATCGACCAACGACCGAAGTAAACCGATCCTCGAGGGTTTGCGCAAGTTCCGCAGGCAGATGACGATCGAGGAGCAGATCCAAAAGTCGATGTCGATGGCGAGCATGCCGCCGGTAAGTAAGTTCCTCGTGTCAAACCCTCAACCGCACGTCTGCGCACGCGTAGGAGGAGATCGCGCCCGAAGAGGTCGACGAGATGGACGACATCGACAAGGTGCGCGACGACTTGCAGAGTACCAAGCAGATGCTCGCGCTGGAGCTAAGGAACAAGGAGGCGGTCGAGATGGAAAACAAGAGGCTCCTGGCTCGGATAGCGAATCTTGAAGCGGAATTGGAGAAGGCCAGATCGCAAGGAGGTGGGGCCAAGACGGCGGCGGGCGGAGCTTCGGCAGACCAAAAGGTGATCGACTCACTGAAGCGGGAGGCGGAACAGACGCGGAAAAACTCGCAACAGGTGGAGAAAAAGTACACCGAAGCGGTCAAGGAGCTGGACACCGCCAAGCTCCAGCTCGAAGACTACAAGCGGAAAAACGTGGAACTGGAACGCAAACTACTCGACGCGCTCTGCGGTAGCTATACGAATCGTCGACGCGGACGCTTGACCTATTACGCATAATGCGCGTTGCAGCTCGCGACGCATGCGCAGTTCCCAAGACTTACGCGTGGATCAACATAACCACCAGTAGGGCTTCGCTTAAGGCTGATCCGGAAGATGCTAGCTACGGTATCTCTAATGCTTTGCGACGCTAACTCTCCCCCCTTCCTCAACGCTAATTTTTCAATGCGAACGTCTAATCTAGCAACTAACCCAAGGTGTTGCATAGAATTCTATTGTTGAATACGAGCCCTAACAACTAATTGTTCGGACGATGTACGAAATAATAAATATTAAATTGATTTTTTGCCTTTTCGATTGAAAAAATGAAATTACCCACTTACTTTTATACCAAAAAGTGCTATCGTAATGAATTTTTTTTTATTTCACATAAATTACATAACAAAATATCAAAAACATAAAGAATTTGCTGACAAATAAATCTTCGGACGCATGTAAATCTTTTACTTTAAATCGAACATTAATAAGAAGTAACATCAGCTTTCGCGGCAATAACAGCTTTTACGCGTTTTGGCATGGAATCTACCAAAGTCTTGCAATATTCTGCTGGAACTGTACGCTGAGGATTGTTAAGCAAAGTCTTTTTCATCCGATGCCATAAAGTTTCAATAATATTCAAGTCTACTTGATGGCCACGATAAAACTTTCATATTGTGGTCCCCAAACAACTTTTTTGTTGTTTTCGCAGTATGACAGGACGCACCGTCTTATTGAAATATAAAATTTTCATTTCCAAAAGTTCGTTCTATTGATGGAATCAAACTTCTGCATTTACAGTACCATCAATGAACTCGTAGTTGCCAACCCATTTACCACTCATACACCCCCATATCATATCAATCTTTGTGAAAGGCTTTTGATTTTGTACGAATCGCCCTTTTTCGAAAATCGCCTACACACACAGGAAAAATTGTAAACTTACCTTACAAAAACTCAAACCAGACTTAGGCATTCATTGTCTACAACATTCTCTGGAGACACTTAAGTTTGCCTCACCATTCCATTGGGCTTGAATTTATCGTAAGACGCTTCGTCTGCTAGTTTCACAAATCTTGACCAGAATACGACGATCTCTTTCAGTGATTTTACGGGGTCGGCCTGAACTTTTACCACGAACGCTAACACTAGCTGTTACTCCATCCTTTTTTATAATATCCCCGACTGTTGATTTTCCAATACTCAAGTCATTTGAAATTTTTTGCATTGATTTACCTCTGTAGTACTGAGATATGATAAGTTCTCGCACTTTTTTGTTTGTTGCGACACCAGGAGTCATTTTCTTATCAACTATTATACAAACTTGAAAGATACAACCAGAACTGACATGTCATTTATCCAAGCACACTACATTTTACCATCAATGCATGAGTAGCAGTGATTTCTTGGTCAATAAACATTCGCGTCCGAATATTTATTTGTCAGCAAATTTGGTATGTTTCCGTTATTTTGCTATGTCAAAAAAAAATTTAAATAGATATAAAAATGTCTTTTTTATCATTTTTTACATCGTCCGAACATTTAGTTTTTAGGGCTCGTATATTCGATATGCCTAAATAGCGAGGAGTCGATTAGGCTTAGACTGTTAAAAAATTAGCTGGTTGTCGTTTTTGAGAGAACCGTTCGATTTATTTAAATTCTAAGCCTAAGAAAACACAGTAGACGTCAATATATAGCATAGAACTCTATGTGACACGCAGGCAAAAAGGTGTCGACCTCCCGCCAGAACAGCGTGGCCCAGGGCGACGAGGAGGAACTCGACGAGGAAGAATCGGAAGAGGAAAGCGACGGCGAAGATACGCCGGAAAAACGCGAGAAGCGACTTCAGAAGGAGGTCAAACACATGGCGAACAAGTTGAGGAGTTTCAAGAATAAAGAGGACAACGCGAAGAAGGAACGGATCGCGCTCAAAGACATCATCAAGAAGAACCAGGCGGCGATGAAGGAGGAGAAAAAGAAATACAACCGCCTGAAGAAAGAAGTGGACAAAATGGCGAACCTGCTCAAAGACGTGAGCGAGGATGAGGAGGGCGACGAGGATGACGAGGAAAAGGAGGAAGAGGTTGAAGAAGAGGCGGAGGAGGAGGAGAGCAGCGAAGACGAGTCGGAATCTGAAAGTGAGGAGAGCGACAGCGATAGCGAGAAGAGCCTGAGCGAACCTGAAGACGCCCCGTTGGATAAGAAAAAGGCTAATTTGTCAGCCAGGGTTAAGAAGCACGAGGGAAGGGTGAACGCTTTGAAGAAGGGCAATTTCCTGCTGAAGACCAACGCCGAGAGGTAAGATGAGAAACTATTTACTTGCGTAATCAGGACTAATTGTTTTTGTTGTCAGGCTGCAAGACGATTTGAACAAACAAAAAGAAATGACTGCCAGCCTACAAGAAGATCTAGATTCCGTATTGTCCGAGTTAGGTTAAAAACCCAATTCGCTAGAATAAGATCGCTCATATTTCCACTCGTGCATAACTAAGAAATTTCATTAAAACGGTATTGTGTTATTCATTGCACGCTGTAATTTTGATATTCACCGGTTAATATGTCGACACCATCCGTCTCAGATTGTGGTGCACCCAAATCAAAAATTACGTTTTTTGTATAACTTTTTCTGCCACCAAAAAAGTCAGAAACCTTCGGGACTTTATTTACTGCAAATATGAGCCTAGGAACGCTGCCTAGTCATAAAATTTTACCACAAAGACACTAAAGCAAATTAATGTCACCTGTTACGAGTATTTGAGGGCAAGATTCGAGGATTCTAATTCTGCGACGCTTGCTGACTTTTTATACATATACGTAAAAGTGTTACCTATTTCTATGCGCGCTATACTGTGAAATAAAAGTGTGATATAAACAGAATGTATTTTCATTTTTCCTTAGCACCGTAGTTTCACTTGAATTTGTTGGCTAGTTTGGGTAATAAGTCAACATTATTGTTTTCGTATTTTTATAGAATTATTAAAATGTGTTACCTTTGGAAAACCGACGATTTTTTGCAAATTCGTTGAAAACCACTTGACAAGTCACTTACAACATTTAAATTCCAAATAATTAATGACAGTTACACGGCATAAAGAGATACTAGGTTGGTCACGACTGCAATAGGTCACTCGGCCAGCTTGCGATGAGTGTAACAAATACAAAAATCCTGAAGAATGCCTTCTTTAAAGAAGGGTCTGGACCAATCCATCATCCTCCAGGTTAGTTAACATATACAAAAACGGGAACAACTTCTAAATATTGTCATAAAATGATGACCGATTCTTCATAGGACTCTCGCAATTTTCTTATACGGGATATCCGATCCCATCCGGTCTAGTTAGCAGCGTGAGTACAGGACATCCGGAAACCGTGCTAACATATACGTCATGGAATAACACATCACAAATCCGTGTACATCCGCGTAAAACGAACACAATTTCTCGAAATTATAGTCACTACGCCTCTATCACTCCAGAAAACAAATGTACAAATAAAATTTTCTTTAAACGACTCTAATTTCAACCGATTTCTACAATTGCGATTGCAATTTCTACATGTGCGATCGAAAGTTCAGATACTAGGTTAACAAAAGATTATCTGCACTCAGGTAAGATTTCACAGAATAGTTTTCTCCAATATTTTGTGAAAGTTGAATGGAAAAAAGGAACTTGAAATGCTCGTCAAACACGACTGCAACTCAAGAAGTTTAGCAAACTAACGATTAAAAACCAAAGTCTTCTTCTTTTACTTTATTTCATATTTCTCAAAGAAGCGGAATAAAGTAAACATTAAACTGCTCAAAAGGAAGAAGCAAGGAAAAGTTAAGGTTATGTTAAAAATATTCGTTTGAATTTAATAATCTTTTAGTGTTTATTTGCGTCGTGCCGCTCGGAGATGAGCTATTTTGGACTCGATAAGATAAACAAACTGATCCAGACCATCAAGCAGCATGGTGGCATCAGAATGTCTCTGTACAAACTCTACAGGTAAAGGTTACATAATTCATAATAGAGCTCGCGTATCGATCGCGCCATGTTTCAGAATGGAATCTTTGCGTCCCGGGACTTTAGTTGGCGTCGACAAAGACGGCAACAAGTATTACGAAAACTTGTCATACTTTTACGGCAGGAACCGCTGGGTAGAATACTCTCCTAAATACGGTAAATTCCTGCCCATAGGTGGCTCAGATATTGCTTAAAGCTTGGTTCCAGGTACTGATTACGACGGCAGTCAAGTGCCGGCCGAATGGTTCGGGTGGTTGCATTATAAAACCGATTTCACCCCCGACAAGGACCCCCACAGACCAAAATATAAGTGGATGGCGGAACACACAGAGAACCCGACCTTTACCTCTGGCGCCTATATGCCGTATTCGACGACGAGGCCCAAAATCGAGGCGTGGGTGCCGCCTAGCAAATAATTTCCATCCTGGTATCAGTCATGTGTATTAAACTTAGGAATAAAATAATAAATAACTCTTTTGGGATCGCTTCCTGCATAACGTGGTCAAGGAAACAGTATTTTTATTCACGCGTGAGCGAAATATTGATATTCAAAGATCGTGATGGTTTATTTGAACTACTAACGATTTTGCTTATGAGGTGCCGGCGGTGGAGTGTAATCATTGTTACTACTTGTAAGGCAGTACTGGCAGGGTTAGTCGTCCATAATTGGCATCCTTTATAAAAGCCATATAGCTACTAGAGATATGGGGCCCTGCTGCTGATAATACAGGAACTTATGAAGCATCTATGAGAAAAAAAGTAGAGAAGGTCCTTTCAACATGGGCATATGCCTTGCGAAATTCAACAACCAGTATGGCCACTTACAGATCGTTGACAAGTATGTTATGTAATAGCTATATTTTCGTAGAGAGGGCAATGATTTTCCGCGCATGTCTCTAATATTCACCCATTTACCTGCACTGCCCTGCTTTAACTCGTTTTCGTAGAACATTTAAAGAGATCTAGGCATATTCTGAGAACATAGTACCGTAAAAAGGCCGCATTCAAACTTACTCTACCACTTGCCAAGTTGGTTGTTAAATGTCGCAAGGTCATTGGTTAAAAACTAGATTTTCTGGACCTTGTCATAAAAAATTTCATAGTTGCTTCATAAGTTCTTGTATATATCTATATCCATAGTGGCTATATGGTTGGAACCAATATAAATCAGGTGGTGGGTATTTACTCTGTGGTAGTGGTAGTTTTACTTAACTACAAGGGTCTCGCCCATTATTAATCAAAATCATTTCATCATATATCACAACGGTACATTTGAACTACTCGCGATTTTCGGGGAAAAAAAGACTCCAAATTTCTCGTTTTTCTTTACATTTAGTTTTGTATTTGCAAAAACTCCTCCAAATTAACCACGTGCATGACTTCCGATTCGTCGCCGGCCGCGGCGTCCACCCCCTGCACGTGATTCTGTACGACGTGGCGCGTGAGCGACGACGCGTAGTGGTACGCGCAGCCGCACACGTTGCACGTGAACCGCGCTCCGTCGCCCCTATGTATTTCGAGGTGGCGCTGCAGATTCGATTGTCTGGAAAATTTGCGACCGCACGTCGAACAACCGAAACACCTGCGCCTCTGTCCGGCTCCACCTTCTTCAGGACCATAGTCGCCGTGACTCTCGACGTGCGATTTTAGTTGCTGCGCAGTAGCGAACCTAAAACCGGAAATAGTCGTAGTACATTTGAACTACCGGCTACGCGTATATTGAATGCACTCTCTGACGACCGCTGAGTCGCACATACTCATTTTTGTTTGTTTTTTTTTTACTGGCGTTGTAGGATTAAACACCGATTATACATATTTTTTGAATTACATGATATAGAAAAATCGATTTTGGATGTTTTTGAAATAAGAGCTCTATGGGAACAAACATATAAAGATTATGGAGTTTTACCAACGACATACCGCTTTTACAACCTGTTGTGTTGTGGTTTTGACTTCGAAATGAGTTTAAGACCTGCCTACTCTAAAGTGGAAGAAACCATTCTTTCCGGCACGCCCGGGCCTTACATAAGATGTTAGCCGACAAGAGCTGTACCGTGCACTCACTGAGTTTCTTTGATTAATCGTATTAATGTACTTTTCAATTCATGTTAATGTACTTTTTATAAACCTTCTAACAGTACTTACTTGAGGTAGCTGGAGAAATCTTAAACCGATTTTCAATTTAAGGTTTAACATAATGATTCTAAAATATTTTGCCAGAAAAGCAATACAAAATCTTATATAGATAATTGATTTATAATGGATGTTTTCCCAGTAATTAGTAATTACCAACTTACTGTTTTTCAATTGTTTTGTCATTTTTATCGAGGTACCATAAATATTTTATTATGTTTCTTTCTACCCAAACCAAAATTCACCGATCTCATACGTCCGACTGATTTATTATCAGACTATGCATCCAAAGCAACTGTGACATTATACTCACGACCGGTCGCAATACTTGCAGGCTGATGCGCGGTTAAAGTGCGCGCTGATGTGTCTCCGGAGCGCTACCGACGTCGGGAACTTTCTGTTGCACTCCGCGCACTCAAACATGCCCTCGACGTGACGGTGCGGTGGGCTGCTGCGAGCCGCCGACAGTGCCTCGCTTTCTAACCTAAAAAAAAAATCGTCGATTCGGGAGGTCCATATATTTATTTCGTTCGAAATAATAACGAAGATTTTTTTTTACTAGGCTGCATCGCAATAACAACTATGCTCTGTCTCTTAATACGAGAGAGTTGTAAATCACAGCCGTATTTCATAGGCGTAGTACTGTACTGATGATTGTCAAGAGTCCTACCTGTACCTTAGTGATAGAATTATACTTCCTTTCCGGCAGAATTCCAAAAAAATTATTGGCTTACTTTAAATAGCAATTTTAGAAAGATATACTGAAAAAGCAGTCGCTGGAAATTGCAAATTTTCGACGAAATCGTTACAAAACGAAGTTATATAACGGTACTTTGCCTGCCGTCATATCACTGTTAATTAAACCCCATAGAATTGATATGCGTGCAAGTAAAAGGGTTGGTGGCAAGCTGTAAAACCACTTTTAAATGGTAATAACTGCGATATGATCAACTACAGGCCTATTTGCGTACAATTAGCAATACCTAAGGTATTGGAAATGGATTGTTGAGCAGCAGCATGGTCTCGTAAATAGTCGTTCTACTGTGACGAACTTTTTCACTTATACCAACTTCGTCGTTGGGGCTCTGGATAACGGCTGTGAGGTGCATTGCATATATACTGACTTCAGCAAGGCCTTTGATTTGCTGGACCAAGGACCAACACAGATTTAATATTCGGCGTGCCTCAGGAAGCCCATCTGGGAGCAAAATTGTTTCTTTTTCTGGTGAATGATATCATTTGGAGTCAAATTATTAACTTTTTGCAGATGATTTAAAAATTCACCGGCGTATACGGTCAGTTGATGATTGTGAAATGCTAAAAAGCGATATTAATTCGCTAGTGGAGTGGTGTATCTCCAGGGCCGTGCCTAAAAGGTCAAGGTCATCTGGGAACAAAATTGTTTCTTTTTCTGGTGAATGATATAGCCCATCATTTGGAGTCAGATTATTCACTTTTTGCAGATGATTTAAAAATTCAAATGCTACAAAGGGATACTAATTCGCTAATGGAGTGGTGTGGTGTAGGATGAACAATTTAAAATGTGTGTGTGTATGGTTTTCTCTCGACGTAAAAATCCGGCTAATTGCTCATATAGAATGGATGAGTGTATGTTGAAGAGAGTCCAAGTAGGATTTAGGTGTGCTTATGGATGAATCAATACGTTTTGGGGATGTCTTTAGCCGGACTAACCTTATGTTGGGTCTGGTGCGGAAAATGTCTGGAGGTTTTGAGAATTAGAGATGTATTGTCATGCTTTACAGTTCAACAATCTGATCTTCTTTTTACGAAATAGCCAAATTAAAGTGGGGGGCTTCATGGACTGACTGTAGAAAATTTGTGGTTTATGTTCTGTCTTTCGAGTGATTAATGGTGCTATTGATTCTCCTTGTATTCTGTCAAGTTCTAATTTTCATGTCCCTTCTAGAGAATTGGGAGGAAGTCGTCACCTTTTGTCCCCTGCACTGAGTAATACTCGACATCCTCAGACTATACCGGTGTTGTTTTAAATAGCTTTAAAATTAAATTAAGATAAATTTTGCTAAACTGATTTGTAGTACTGCCACCTGAATGATATGTAGTTTTTTTCCTGTCCATGGTTTGTTGTTTTCTTTTTGTTATTGTATCCTAGTTTAAGTAAACATAAGGTTGTAAAATTGTGTAACCATTGAAGGAAAAAACAAAAAAATAAAATGAAATAGAAGAAATAATGTGGGAAACCAATAACATGCTACAAAACACAGTGGAGCCCCTTATTATTTCTGCCGATTCCAACGACTATAGTTCTTCTGACTACTCAGAATATGATGACTAATATTTACAAATGAAGTTATATTGTAATTAACCTTTAAGTTGTCTACTCTAATCTGATTCCCGTCGCTTCAAATTTACATTTTACTGCACTCTCGCATTAAGAAACTAGATATAAAGTTTTTTTTTACTTGAATGAGTGAGATTTGGTGTGTAACTTGAGGAAGACTGCGCCGAGAAAGCTTTTCCCGCATACGGTGCACCGATGCTCCGTGGACGGGTCCAGACTGACCTTGGTGACCTTTGCGCCGGTCTCGTCCTCCGTGACCGTGATGGTCACGTTGGCCGTGCTGAAACGACGAGCGCAAGATAGTCATCCGGCTACTCCCAGCGCATGGACCGACTCACGGTTCAGTGCTGGGTTCGAAGATGGCCTTCTTGGTATTCGCGTCCGGCACGAACCTGCTCGTCTCGACGGCCAATCTGTCGTCGATGTCGCTCAAGCGGTACTCCTGCATCATACAACCACTGCTGTAGAAAATCTTGCTCTCTCGATTCGCAATTTTCTCCACCAGCTTGATGACAATGTTCTTGTTGAGCAGCTTCCGTTTGACGCTGTCCATGTTCATCAGACCCGACATGATCTTCGATATGGTCTCAAAACTCTCCCGCCCCACCACCCGCTCGTGAACCAGGATATTGCCTGGTGCCGCAATTGAGCTCGTCGCTGTATCCGACAGAGTATCGTCTATTTCCTCAATACCATCCCCCGGCTGACAACTATTGTATTGGTGGTCTAAAAAACCCGTCCATCGAGCCTGGCTTGTGCGGTACGTCCGCGAGTAGTTCGAATGTACCAACAGCTCGGCTTCGTGCACTTCACAGCATCGCTGAGGCATACTTGAACTACTCACAATTAACAACGACGCATTTCGATTCTATTAGTACAGCTTTCACAATCCACAACTGGTAACTTGTTAAAGCACCAAAATTGTGAATTTCATTTGTTATAATTTGCTAATACAAGATAATTCTCTAATCTGTATGTAATATGTAAGTAAATTGTACAGCATATGATTGATTATACGTCTTGTAAAACGAGTAAAAACTGTGAAATATCTTGCGAAACCTTTGTCAAAAAAATAGCAAAGTAATATGCAATAAAAATGCATGAACGCACTTTAAATATGTTAAAGGATAAGGTCAAAAACAACCACACACGGGCGCAAACGTTATGATAAATTTAAACTACTCAAGACGGCGGCGATACAAAAGCGATGGTACATTTGAACTACTCGCGACGCGTGCCGCTTCCCGTCAACACTTTCGCAGAAACGCGCTATTCTTACCAGATGTCGTCGCGAAATCATTGGCAACCTTGTCGCTAATAGGCACCCGCTCCTTTTTTTCATCCGCCTTTGGATGTTTTCTCTCTTCCTCTCGTCGTTTTATATTAATAATTTTGCCGACTATCTTCTTGCCATCAGTCGATCGACCCAAGGTAAATTTTCTATGCAATAGGGTATTAAGGGAATGGTTAACCATGGAAGGCGGAGGCTTTTTTTTCCCGACCATCAGCTTCTCGTTCGTAATCCTCTCTCGCAGCTTGTACATGTACCTCGATAACGTAATAGGCTGGCCAGTCAAGAGATTACGCCCGCGGATGTTAGAAAAGTATCCATCATTTATTTTGCAAGCCCCGTCAAATTGTAACATTTCGTCTGTTCTGGGTTTGGTAGCGCCCTGCTGGAATTCCAATTCGGAATCGCTCACGATGGTGTACTCAACACTAATTCAGCAGAAAATATCTAACGGTTAATCAAAAAACGCATCTTGAATGGCAAACATACCCTGTGGCCTCTGATTCCATCCCCTGCGACTTTAAGAACTCGTCCAAGTCGACAATCTCGCCGAAAGCCTGATCCCCTTCTAATTTGAGCATTTTCAACTCGACAGGACCATCCACACTGGTATTACAGTCAGCCAGATGGTACTGCAAAGTTTCGTCCCTTTGCATGTCATCGTTCTGTATATAAACGACGTCCCGCGAATTGTCGTCCGCGTCTGTGCAGTGAACTTCATCGTTTACGTCGCTCAGTTGCTTGAAATCATCGATACAATATTGCGTCAAGCTGTCGTCATCTTGGAGCACTAGAGTTTGGCCATCTAATGTAAACAAGTTTCCGTTCACTATGACGGCTCGCGTTCCGTCTTCCAATATTAACTAAAACGGTACGATAGTTTACAAGTCAGTGCCGTTAGTTTAAACTTACGTCTCCGAATTGATCGGAAGACTCAAACTCCCCACAAATATATTGGACATCTTCGTTGACCACTCTTATCGCTTCCGCCATCGTTTGTTCCTCGTTCGGGCAGAGGATCTTAAAAAATCGGGCATTATAATTTCAGTTTCGGTGGTCGAAACCTGAACACTTTGATCACGAAATTCGAAATTTTGAAAATATCAATCGGTAAATAGACATACCTACTTGAAAATGATCGACTTGACCCTGTCGGTACAAACCAAAATGGCGATTACCGATGGGGTACGCAAAGGGTTAGGAGTAAATTATTACACTTACTCCCTTGACATTAATCAATCAACACATGCGAATCAAGTGTAGAGTGTCTGTCTGGTAATTTTTCTCATTTTTTTCTTTTATTTAACGATTCTATTTCTAATCTTACTAATTGTTATATTTAGTCAGCGGCATCTGTTGACGTTACGTTTAAGTTATTTCTGACTGTTTAAATTTGTAACCTAACAAAATGGTGGACAATCAAAATTTAAATTTATCTGACATCGAACACCTTATTTTTAATCTGTTATTAAACAGTCGGGACAGTTTCGATTATCCTCAGTTACAACGGGATGCTGTGGATAGTATTTCCGCTAACTTAACCGATGCAATTTACGATAGTTTAAAGCAAAAATCTGTTGGTAGCACCTCAAAGCGGACGAACCTCTTGGTATTTTTTAAAAGGTGCTTGTGATTTGATTTTGAACGTGTCTTAATTTTTAGAAATTTGTTAATATTGTTTGCGAAACGAGGGAGGTTCATTTTGGCCAAAAGGACTATAAACTATTTTTGGAAGTCTTTAGAGAAAAGCAAAGTTACCATGAAAATGTGGATTTAGAGGAATTTGCGAGGGAAGCCGCAGATGAATTTAACACACTGATTCCTTCGAGTTTTTCGGCCAGATTATGCGAATTTTATCAAAGGAAAAATGAAAAACAGCGAAACAAAGTTAGATCACTGGAATTTATTAAGGGGAAAGATCAGTGCAGGTTAGATTCTTTAAACCTTGGGATGCAGGTGTTCAAGAACTTTTTGCCCTATGAAACAAAACGTGATTTAATAAATGAATTGCTAAGAACAAAAGAAGGTGAGCCTGTACAAAACTCAGTAAATGAAGAGAAAGGTAGGGAATATAGAGAAAAGCAGATAAAATTTTGTTACGCACTCACAAATATAGGGGACCTGGAGGATTTGGAATCGCTGGGGATTATTTTGCCAAAACTGTCCAGATATGAAACTCTTGAACCTTTTGAAATCAATTTTTTAACTTTTCTGTTTATACAGGAAGGTGATTGTGATGTTAAAAACAGTATACAGTGTTGAGTAATAGCCCTTTTCATTTTAGGTTATTTGGCAAAATACTCAGACTATGTAATCGAAAACTTCCCTTTTCTAACTGAAAAAATATTAATTCGCTCCTGCAAGGAAATAATAAAGTTAAAGGAGGACAGGGAGGTTGTTAACTATTTTGAAAATTTAGAATTTGACCCCCGGGTGAAAAGAATTCGTTCCATCTGCAGTAAGGATAGGATATTTTATTGCAGCTGTAAAAGTTTGATTTACCAATTGTATTGCTATAGTTATTGTAATAAAAACATATTAAAACTTCATGATGTAATAATGTAACTGCCTTTTTTTTTTTTTTGGCCCGCGTTTGTAAGGAAGAAGACCGAGTTGTTAGTGGTCTGTAGTCTGTGGTTTTCCAGTTTAATTAAAATGGCGGACTCTATGCCGAAGGCCGATATTACCAAAGTTAGTGCCGCTGAAAGGGAATATATACGCCGGGCACAAGAAGACAACCTTAAACGTGTCGAAAGACTCAAACGCGTCAAGCGCAATAACTGGATAACACTAGGGGTACTAGGAGCGACCGTTCTGGGCATTTACAGTTACACCATACTCTCCATCAAACAGGAGACTTTCCTGGACGATTTCGAGGAACCCGCCAAAATAATCGAAAAATAGCGATGGCCATAGCGTTACCTAGACACGTAAGATTACCACCTTTGCCCACCGTCAGGGATTTAGTTAAGTTGTACAGAATAAAAGCCCTGAAACAATTGTCTCAAAATTTTTTAATGGATGAGCGCATCACCGACAAAATCGTTAAAAACGCGGGCAACATCAGCGATCATTACGTCTGCGAGGTGGGTCCCGGTCCAGGCAGTATTACGCGGTCCATTATTAAACGTGCTCCGCGGCGTCTTATTGTGGTAGAAAAGGATCCAAGGTTCCTGCCTGCACTGGAACTGCTTCGTGAGGCTAGCAGGGACGTAACTGATATGCATATTGAGATCAACGATATCCGCGAGTATAACATGGAGAAAGGTTTTGATGGGGCGCCGAAGCACGAGTGGGAGGATGCAGAGCCCCCAATCCATCTCATAGGCAATCTTCCATTTAGCGTGTCAACAAATTTGATAATACGATGGTTAAAGTCGGTTTCAGAAAGGACTTCGGCGTGGTCCTACGGCCGAACTTCTATGACGCTTACGTTCCAGCAGGAAGTGGCCGAAAGAATTGTGGCGCGACCCGATAGTGAGTCACGTTGCCGTTTGTCGGTAATGTGCCAGATATGGGCGAAAGCGCAACTGAAATTCACGATACCGGGCAAAGCGTTCATCCCGAAACCAGACGTAGACGTGGGTGTGGTCACGTTAATACCTAGACGGCAGCCGTTACTGAATATTCCATTCAAGACGGTGGAAAAAGTCGTACGATCAGTTTTTAACATGCGGCAGAAGTATTGCGTGAAAGGGGTGGAGAGGTTGTTTCCGGAAGAGTTACGAGGCGAGTTGAGCGCGCGGATGCTCGATATGGCAGACGTTGAAGCAACCAGGCGCCCCTTTCAGTTGACTAACGAAGAATTTGTGAGGTTATGTGGTGCTTACGTGACGCTGTGCGACGAACGGGAAAATCTTTCAGCCTTCGACTCGCGCATGCCGAAAATTTTGCGGGAACAAATGGTTTGGGGCTGACGTTAATTTGTAGTTATAAAAATGTTGTTAATAAATTTTGCGTTTTCATTTTGTGAGGGTGTGGATACTTGGATTAACCCGTTTTTTAAAAAGGGCGTTAGCCTAGAAGCAAACAGGAAACAATCGAAATCCTTGCCAAATCTTTGACAAACCTGCTTGTGCACTTGCACATTGTCTTTAATTTGCATTAGCCAGTTAGGAACTCTCAAGGTCATATTTTAAATTGTATGAGATAATTGGCTTAACAATTAGTAACCATATGATGGACATAACTTGCCAACATAAAGTTCAATGTGGGACACAAGAAAAACGAGTGCTTAATTTAATATTTTTATTCATATAAAATAAATAGATGATAACCTGGTGGGCCCAGATGTTCCAAACCCACAGGAAAAAAACGGGGTTGATTTAATTAAAAAAAAAAAGGCCAGTGGTGAGGATTTTGAACTAAAATCAACAGAACCCCGCGGGCAGGTCGAATACTCACAATGACAACAATATATTTCAGTTCAGAATCTTATAAGGAGGTATATTATAACAGATAAAAACTAACGGGGCTTGCGCCTTAATTTATACTCTCTGGGTGTCTTTTTGTTTTATTATTGCGAAGGTCGATTGTTCTGACACACGCCAGAATGTTGGGAATTTAACGCTAAATCGTTCATGTGTTTTTCAACCTGAAAGAGACCATAACATTACCTCAAGAGAGACGATTTTTCCACAGCAGAGTACTTACGAATTTTTTTATAAAACTGTAACCTTTACTACTTGTGTTGCCTCTGATGTTGTCAGGTTGATATGGGGGGCTTATAATCACCTCCTGATTCCAAACAATGATATCTGAATTCCTCCACCTTACTTCTTGTATTACTTTCGATATAGCTATGAACAGACTTTGACCTTCGGATGAGACGTTCGCCGCTATCGCCTGCAACATGCGGCGTTTCTCCTCCACTTGGTTTCGTACTCGCGTGTTTAGCTACAAAGCGGGTGGTATTTAATCGGCCAAACGCGAATTTTGGTGAGTTACCCTTTGCAAATTCAGCGATTGCGGAACTTCTGGTACCGAAGTGACTTCTTTTTTTACCTGTAATTCGCTAACAAGGGATAGATTTATAAATTCTACGTCGTTCAGTTTTGGATCGCCGTTCGATGAGCCGCATTCTGACACCAAATTAAGGAAAACGAAACAAGCACACAAAACCTTTATGCCAACTGTATTTAGTGCAATTAAATAACGCGAAAACCCCTCCCCGTGCGTAAAGTAAACGCTACCGCGTTAAAAAAACTAGAATTTGTAGGCCGAAACGGCAATAAACTTGAAAACAATGTAAAAATTTAAGCTATTGTCCTGACGGCATTGAAGCCCAAACCCCTCGACGGCATTAAAAAAGGATACTCAATATAAGTACTTTTGTTTGGGGATCGAATGCCAGTACTTCACCTTCGAATTCGGAATTGTAACACGTCCTGCACCAAACAATACTACCTATCGAAAAAAAGTCCGAAACAGCAGCCATTTCGCAAAACGAACACACTAAATGACAATTGCAGAGACAACTACCTTTTTCAATTGCACACGTGCGGGGTTTTAAAATTTCAACTGTTGGTAGCTCTGGCGAAGATTAAAACCATAGATTTGACCGAAGTAACGCGTTTGACTTGCGAACTCGACTTGCCGGAGATTGTGGGTTTGATTTAGATATCTGGTAAGAGATAATTTAGTGCGTCATGACTTTTATAGCTTAAATAAGTTTTTTGACGGTGATGATAGTGTATTATAATAATTTTTGTTTTATCCAGATGTCCCAGTAAAGACAACGAGGTGTTGTAATCGTTATAAGTTATAACGTGGTTGTAAGCTGGACGAATTGCCTTATGAAGCTGTACCCAAATAAAGCGTAATTAAAAAAACAGGTGTGTTGAAATTTTCAAATTAAAATATTGTTTTTATCAATGAATAATAATAATAATAATAATAATAATAATAATAATAATTGATTTCTGGTTTATTTTTGAAATAAAAGGTGACATTCCAACCGTACCCTGACCGAAGAAAATGTGCTTATTTTTCTCTGCCCGTAACAAGATCATAATATTGCGGAAAGCACAGATATGATAAATATTGGTTCACGCCTGGCTTCACAAGGAAGCTTAAACAATCAATTTTATAATTCAATTTATTGTCCATTTTATTGCATTTTACTATGATACACTATTAAGATGGTCCCGGAAACAAAAATCCGCCGCCTCTGCCACCCGCGATGCCCCCAAAAAGACCGCCTAGGCTTCTCATTATCGGTCCGCCTTGTTCCCACCTCATTCCCACAGGCGAGTTATCATTCGACGCCGTACCAAAAGCGCCGCTAACCAACTTGCCGAAATTACCCACAGTTTGGCCTAACGCCTTGCCGGTAGTCTCGATCTGTCTATACGTCAAACTCCCCAAGTTACCGCCTTGTTTATTAACATCATCCCTGGCAATGTTCATTCCTTCAGTGGCCACTCTCGCGGTGTCCTCTGCGGTTTTCTGTGCAACGTTGAAACCGTTGGAGGCGAAATCCCCGAAATTTTGAGCTGTCTCCTGAACTGCACTTTGCGCGGTTTGGAACTGGCTGTCGGCGAAATCTTTGATACTTTTTAAACCATTCATAAACAGCTTTGCAGGGGCGAACATACTGATCGAAGGAATAGGCGGGAAGTTCTGGGTACCTTGACTTTCCGATTTTGAAGATTCATCTTCCACTTGAAGGTCTAACTTCACAGTTTCAGGCCTCGATGGTTTGGATTGGGCTTCGACCGCAGTAGAATTTTCCGGAGTCTTTACGTCTCTTTTGTGGGTAACTTGCCGTGGTATGTTTTCCTCGTTCCTGTCTCTCAAGGTGACATTTAATGGGAGAATGGGACTTAAATAGCCTCTGGATCCGATAGATTGCGTCTCGTGCGATATGTTAGTTGAGTTCGACTGATTAGTAGCTTGAGTGCTAGAGGCAATTACAGATAATTTATTTTCGGCCACAGTAACTGTGTCGTTTAGTGACACTAATTCTGGCTCAACGATCCTGCTAATATTGGTCGAATCGAATGCGCCCTCTTGTGATGGCGCGTTGCGAATGGTGTGAGGAACCGTGAGTAGGTACGGACCGTCAGGTACAGATGGCGCTCGAATGGGATTCTTTTGGGTTACGTTTTGAATTAACTGCCTAATGAAATCGTTGAGCGTTGTCGGGCTAAAGCCAACCGGGATTGTTAATTTCGGAATATTTTCGGTTATACCTGGATAGTGTTTAAAATGTGGGTATTTTTCGTTGTCCACCGCCAGTTGGGTCGTCATTTCTGGTAAAATCTGATCTTTAAAAGTTAGATCCTCCATAACGTTTAAATCGGAGGCATTTTTTGGAGGTTTGTGGATGGATGGAGGTGGTTCGGGTTGGAATTTTGATGCATTAGTCTCGATTTCGCTGTCGGTGGGTTGGAGCGCTAGGTCGGAGAGTGTTTGGGGCAGATGCTTCAAATCCACTCCGTTATGCAACCCGCTGACAAAATCTTTCGTGTCGGGGCTCGACGTGTCGTTTACGGCACTCGGTGAGGGTTTTTCCAAATACGGAGCTTCAGTTTTGCCGATGGGCGAGTCCAACGCGTTCAGTGCTGGAATTAATTAAATTTTAATTAAGTATGGGAGAACAATAACCATTCACGCGCAAAAATGTAAAGCAGGTGTTGCACGTGACATTTAAATAAACAACGATTTTTTCCTTAATGAAGCACTATATCCCTTCACTTTTTTTGCATAGATATTGTTGAGACTTTCTGAAATAGCGATTCTGTTTCGCAATTATACTACTAATTACATTGAATGATTGTAACACGTCTAAAAACATACATGAAAAGATTTGAAGGTTAGAATCATAGAATAATATTTTGGTTATTTTTGCTTAAACGAAAAGTATTGAAGCACTTTAAAATTTATCTCCCATAATTTTATACCTCTTTGAAGACACCATAAAGAAGCAGACAATTGGGTAACCGACAATTAACAGATCTAAATAAATAAATCTGACTTACCATGAGTTTCCGAAATCATAGCGCCGGCGTCGCCAACTGCATCAGGAAGTGCGACACCAAAAAAGCCGAACCACAGTACAGCGAGCACACTGAACCTCATGATTTTAGGCGAAAAAAAGTGATCTGTCGTGGAACCACGCAAAACCGTATCAATCGCGAAATACTTTCATCGCCACCTATACCGTAACGTCGTCTGTGAGCGAAAACCAATTATCTTCTCTTTCAAGCTTCAAGCTTTAATATCTGTTATTCAACAAAGACGCGAGAGATCGGTTTTCCGCATAATTCCCCCCGCGCGGAAACGACCAGCGATTGTTTATAACAATAACGCGCCTCGTTGCTGTAGAAAATTCTTCGTAATCAATCTCAATTTGCGTCGTCCGTGCCGAAAACACAATACTCTACCGCGCCATCGTGTGTGATTTTTAGGAACCTCATTTAATTAATAAAAATGTTGAACAATGAGAGTTTGGGTTTTCTACCGCAGCAAATAGCATCGCTTTGTACTGGATCTTCAGAAAAGGTTGATTATTTCATTTTTTTAAATTATTTTAAATCTAATTTGTCCTCTAGTTGATATATAAACTAAAATTCATCCAGTTTTCATTCAGCAATATCCAGTTATGTTGTAGTTGCGCTCTTTAAGTGTTAATGTAGTTGGTTTTCTTACCACGCACGCAATGTTTAGTCATTTTTTATTTTATTTTTTCTTTAAACAAAACTGAGGATTCTTTTGTTATTCATTTCCATTTATTAGCTTCCAGCAACATTCGAAAAGTTAGTTTGGGTATTATACAAGATTTCTACTTCTCTGGAATCGGGCAAGTTTTCGCGGGACACTCGCCCAAAGCGACCGACAGAATACAAATCAGAAGTTACGTCACGGCTAAACACGCATACATTCCGAAACATCCAGGCGTCGCTTTAAAAAAGCCTAAGGTGCCGTTAATGGTCCATTAGCTTATTGCCGTTAGCGCAGGAAACAAACGGTCGTAATAAACGCGCAAACAAACAGGCAAACGCGTAAATCTCCGCCTCTTTAAGTTTGATTGGGTCGTAAAATTTTTATCCGTCCTCGTAAATCAATCGCGATTAATAGGTTTTTCGGGAGAGAGGCAGAAACGAGAGAGAGAGAGAGAGCGAGAAAGCTTCCGCCTTTTTTATAATGATCTATTTTCGTAATTCCCGGCGAAAATAGTCTGCCGAAAATTCGTTAGTTTCCGCGGTCTGCTCGTATTGTATTCGGGAAAAACAGTTTAGACATGTCTCGAAAACGTTTCGCTTAGTGCTACGCGTGTTTTGTTGTCAACATTATTATGTCGCGTTATCGTTCTGATCCGGAATCTCTAGACGCGGAAAAACCGAGCCCTTGTACCAATTTTCTCCACTACAGTTGGAAAACGGTGACCTGCCTCTTCTCCCACGCAACCCTTATCACCATGGTGGTTTCTTATTGCGTCCTGGGGGCGTTTACGTTCGAAGCCCTCGAAGCGGATCACGAGAGAGAGGTAATTGTTCATTTGCGGCGACAAAAAGTCTCGAAAAATCGCCTTAGGTGAAGAAAGGCATACGGAAAATCAGAGAAAACACTACTTTCTACCTGTGGAACTTTACGAAGTACGAGCTGCGAGCTTTGAAGGAGGATAATTTTACGCCGAAAGCTTTGGTGTACCTCAAGGAGTTCGAGGGAGCGCTCCTCAAGGCCATCACCAAGGACGGTTGGGATGGGGTCGAAGAACAGGAGAAGGTACAGTGGACCAGCACCGGGGCCTTGTTCTATTCAATAGTAGTAATAACTACAATAGGTAGGTCGTTTGTTGTTGTTCGTTTTGAAATTTGACAAGCGGCATGAACGCGTGAGCAGAATAATGACATTTTTGTTAAGTTAGTTTTGGTTAGTTCAGTGTTTTTAGAGTTTAGTTTAGTGGTTAGTTAGTTTTTATTAATTATATGATAGTAAACTTTTTATCTTCAGTTTTTGACCCACTACTTAGGTAGTTTCCTATGTTTCCTATGCATGTTATAATCGTTCGAGCTCAAATTTGAATGTTCAAAATGGCGGCAGTTTGCACGTGACATGTGTTGTCTGAGAAAGCGGCGTGTTTTTTTTTCTACTCCCGTCTGTAAAATACCTAATTATACACCGATCTAGCGTGCGGAAAGCGTCACTTTACCACGTCAGATTCGTTTCCTACGAATCCCAGCCACTTTGGAAATTACCGGGGTTTTACCGCACGGGTTTGGGAGCAACCGGGTGTCTTCGGAGATATTTCCCACGCTTTGAATTTTGACGTTTGTCAATTCTGGCAGTCATGTCAGTATCCGTGTTTTGCGAAAATGTACGCAAAAACTAACGGTCGTAGAAAAAGTATAGTATGCAACACGTTCGGTGAACTTCTAAACTCACTCGCTCCGCTCGTGTCAAATAAACTCGTGAGTCAAATGCCGTTTACCGCACTTGTTGCATAATATACTATTGTCGTCTCTCGATAATATATTCTGTGTATCTGTCAGTATTGCTTCAACTTGCCATACATTGCAACGGTTCAAATGCAATGCACCTAAATGAAAAAAAAAGTGATCAAAAATTGATGCAAAACATAGTCAACAAATCATAGGAAAATTCGCATCGTATTAGTCAAAGCAAAAGTCAAATTTATAGTCGCCCGTATATGTAGATTCTACGAATCTTGGAGCCTTCCCCAACTCGTTCATTTTATGTTGTCCCAATTTAAAGGGCATCTAAAGCAATAACCATAAAAATGACCCTCAGTAGTAATAATATTTAGAGAACATAACAGAAGCGGCCTTTATTTGAAATTTTATATTTGTAGGTAAGGGTACATAGGAAACACTTTTTTATAAAGAAAAAATCTTATGATGGCTCTCTGTTTCCAATTTCAATTCTCAGATACTAATAACACCTCGTAACACTTGTGACTTAAAATCTAACCTAAAATATTTCGCTCTTGCTTAGAAGAAGCCAAACGAAAACAGTCTTGTATAAAAATGTTTTTGGTCCCTGATAACTTGATGCGATAATCAAAAATGTTAAACTTTTTTGGCCTGCGTGGCTCTGGCCAATCCAAAATTATCCAGGTTTCCGTTGGGCCTGTCGAATGGTCCGCCAGGGCCTACCAACACACCGTTCTGAGCCGAATATTCGTTTTGCCCTGAAACTAAATTCCATTCTCACTTTACATCCAGCTAACATCCGGATTTCAAGTTTACCTCCAAAGCCGACCCCAGCAGGTCTCCCGTAGTGGTTCCCGCCCAACGGACGCTGCGGGAAAACGGTACTAGGTCTAGCAAAGTCCCCGATCTGTTTTGGTGGCCTCGGATACGCCGTGATGGGTGGAACGGTGTCGATCGGTCCCCCAGGTCCCACCAATATGCCATTCTCTATCGAGTGTACCGGTTTGCTCGGCAACGGACCTCCGAAGTCTTTTTTCGTGGAGTAACAGCAGTACTGCTTACCGACGTCGCAGTGACCCTAAAAAATTGCTGGTTTCCAGGGTGTCCCATCTGCAACTGCACTTCGCTTACGTATGATATCCCGGGGGAGTTGCAGTTGAATCTTTCGGTGCACTTGCACTTGTCAAAATTTTTGATGGGCCCCTCTTTGACCCACGACGGTACCGGTCCGGTTAGTACTCCCGGGTTATTTGGCTGCTGCGGGTAGTAGACGCCCCCATAATGCGGCTGGGGATTGCCAGTAGCGTAAACTCCACCAGGTCTGTAGCTTTGCGAAGAGTTTAGAGATTGTGGTACAAAGAGCGATGCGGTACGTACCCTTGTTGTGGTAGGAACGTCGTCATTGGTGATGGTGGTCCGCTCGATTGGTAAACGGGGACAGTTGGGTAGGGATTTTGCTGGAAGGCAGTCTGAGTCGCTCCGCCTGGGTAGTAGAGGTTTCCTGACGGACGAGTTTCCTGCAGTTCTTCGTAGACGTTGTACCTAGAACCTCTGGAGGAAAGCACCGGTTTATTTGAGTCTTAATTTTAATAAGGTTAATTAAAATTAAATTAAGACAATGAATCGAGAATTATTTTTTAATTAATTAATTGATTGGTGAATTAAATGAATTGTTCTTTAATTAAATCATTTACATAAATTAAATTGATTAATACAATGTGTTAATTATTGAATTAAGTGAACAAAATATCAAAGCAATTAAATTAATTAATATCTTAATTATATTGCTCATTAGATTGGTAATTATTGTTGTAATTAAGAAATCAATTTTTATGAATTTCGAGGCAAACTGGATAAACTGACGGGTTTCTAGAGGAATCGTCTGCGTAGCTCCTGGCGTTTCGGCCGCTTTCGTCCCAAACCCATTTTTTGTCGTCCTTGCCGGCCGCGCACAGGGTCGCCCCCAGTAAAACTGTAAATAAGGGAGGTACAAAAACAATGTTCGAAATCTAAGTCCGCGTCTCCAACACATATATCTGGGTTGAGCCCGGTTAAATGTTTTGCTTCAAACGCCATCATCAGATATATAAATAGATAGCCAATAAGGCTAGTCCTTCTGGGTGTAAAATATATTATGTTTTAATCTTAAATAAAAAAAGAGCAAGTATTTATATTATAATTACTTATAGAGGGTGATTCAATAAGGGTTTCCACATTAAAATAATAAAAAAAACTCGGAAGAATATAAAAATATGCAAACATTTTTATTTGCCATTTTAAATTAGTGTATTACAATTAGGTATGAAAGATGATTTATTGTTATTGAAATTTCCTATCACTTTTTGACACAATTCAGGTTCTATGCCGGCTATTTCGCCTCTAATCTCCTGTTTCAGCTCTGGAATAGTGTTTGGTTTATTTCTATACACTCTGCTTTTTAGATACCCCAAAAAAAATCTAGGGGAGTAAGATCATATGATCGCGGCGGCCAATTGATATCGCCGTTACGTGAGATAATCCGACCAGGAAACTACTTGCCCCGCAGCAATTGCATCGTTTCTCTGGATGTGTGACAAGTGGCTCCATCCTGTTGGAACCACAAATCTTCAATGTCCATACCTTCCAACTGCTCCCAGAAAAAATCAGATATCATGTTTCGATAGCGAACACCATTAACCGTAACAGCGTTCTCCGCATTATCCTCGAAAAAAAAATTATTCTTCCGCACCAAAATGCGCACCAAACAGTCACTTTTTGAGGATGCATTGCTTTTTGAACAATCTCTCTTGGATTTTCTAATCCAAGAGAGATCTGAAAATGTGCCTCATCGCTAAAGATGATTTTCATATTCACTCCTGAGTTATTTGGACTTTATATGGGTGGAGATGCAAGTCTTTTGTTAAGATTTGCTGTGTGGTTGAATACGTAAGGCCCACTTGCTGCGATCGATGATCGATGAGGTTAGTTACAGATCCAGTTTGCTCAAATTTTTGAACCACGTTCTAAATTCTCCTCTCAGAAGGTCGATTTGCATTTTTTCTTGATCGACCATTTTCATAATAGGCTTGCACAATTTTTACAGTGGCGTTTCAAAAATATTTCAGATTGCAATGTGGAAACTCTTATTGAATCACCCGTTATTTACATAAATAAGTACGTTTTCATTCAAAATCGAACTCTTTTAGTCGGAATTAAGATTAATTACATTAAAATGTTATTCTTTGGATACTGTATCGTGTGTATCGAATCAAGTTTCATCGATGATTTCTGATGTATATTTTTTAATTTATTTCTTGACATTTTACGAATAACTCTGTGGCACGGCTAATAATTATATTGAATCATCAGTGCCCTTTTTGGTTTATGCAAAGTAGCAACAATCTGTTTTTGATACAGGAAATATGTTTTGCTTCTTATCGTATCTTGTTCACTATTGTTCAGACGGTGAGATTAAAAACCTCTGCGTTGGTTTCATTCATTCATTCACAGTTAATAATATCCTTTATCGAGGACCTTGGCATTTTTGTAACTAAGTTTCTTTTAAAGCTTTTCGTTTAACAAAGCCTCTACTTATTAACATACACGTTTTTCACAATTTGCTTATGACAAGTGAACACACTGTAAAACGCTTTTTCTATCTACCTCACTCGATCCTGTTTGGTCCCTTAACTAAGAATAAATTATTAGTGGTTGCGTTTGTCAAGACGATATACTTCGAGACATACTTTACCAATTCTCTAAGCGATGTTCATTTATAAAAAATGCTAAACATCATCCTACGCGCGTTTCAATGACCCAAAATCTTGAACCTAGGAGGAGGTGGACCACACTGCTGCGAATGTCATAGCGTGTAGCATTTTTGCAGAGCAATAATTATTTTATTATCCTCCCACAGGTAAGATTTTTTAGTAATTTCCATTTTTTAAAATTTGTAGTAGTAGTATAATTAATAGTCCATAAAAATTAAATGAATGTGGGTTAAGTAGAGTTGGCGTAATGCTTAAAAAAATTGTTTATGTGTTTCCGATTTTTTTCTTGAATCAAAATATACAAGGCCTCTCCTTCCTCTTGTGTTCACTCGGTCGGTAAATAATGCACCTACAGGCCGCCACGTATTAAACTTTAAAAGCCCCGGTGCCCCCCTCCCCGCCCACGCTCTTTTATAATGATCATCGGGACAGACGACCAACTTTTCTATTTAATTAAAAGCCAGGTCAAAATTGGATTACGAACGACTTTTCGCCACCCTTTTGCCCTTTAATCTCACCGTTTCGAAGCTTTTAGCATTAAAATTTAGCTATAATTATAACCTCCCCCGCCCCCCAACACTGCCCTCCACGCTTTAAACGCGATAGTCGGTATACTTTTAAAAATTTCACGCCCCGCTTTTTTACACTTGCTTTTCGTTCGGTGGACATGGAAAGAATGAAAATAACTCCGGAAATGTTCGTCCTCCGCGATACTCCGTCAAATTTTTGTTCACGTGTGACCGATTGCAAAAGATTGTGTAAGAAAGATGAGCTTGGATACAATTTTGGGGAAAAATAAAGATAGTCCTTTAAAAATTGTTATTACATATTAATTTAGATTTCAGCAAAATTTCAAAAACTTATTTATTATCTATTTTTCAATCATTTTGCACATTGCAAATGCAGGTTGTCGGAGTTAAAAATCAATCATCAATTTTTGTAAAAAAAAAATATAATCTCGATGGCTAAAACAAAAGTTAAATTCATTTTTAAAACTAGAGTTAAATATTAATAGGCCCCCTGTGTGTTTTATACAAGAAAAATTATGCTGTCCAACACCCATTAAACCCAAACACCCATTAAAAAATAAAACCATGTTTAAAATATTAATAGAACATTATCGTTGTTGTTTTGATTGAAGAATAACAATGGATAACAATTCAACGATAACGTGTAATTATTTCACAATGCGTGTAATGAACAAAGGCTTACTAATTGAAACAATGATGCAAAAATTAAAGTTGTATTGTTGATTATATTAATCACTTTGATCAACAGGGGACTACTGCCGAATTAAATCTCTAGTTTTGGTAACATCGATTCCAAATTAACGGCAACGAATAGCCATATATAATGCGTATCAGATTGTTGTACAAAACAGTCCGTAGTAATTTTAAAATATATTTCACTTTCTGTCTATCGATAAATTCCCTACTTAACAAATATTTTCGTCGATTCGAACAGTTGATGGACGTCCAGAACGAGGTCGGTCATCAATTGACTTGTCGCCATTTTTGAAGGAAACAAACCACTGGTACACTTGAGTTTTTCCCATCGCATCGTCGTTATAAGCTGTTTTTAACATTGAAACAGTTTCAGCAGCACTTTTACCGAGCAGAAAACAAAATTTCACAGCTGCACGTTGTTCTTTTAAACTTGCCATCGAGAAAAACGAAATAACAAAAAAACCGCGTTAACAAAGAATGGCACTGCAAGTGAACAAAACAAGTTAAATTTAAAACGAAGGTGGCGTTGAACTCGCAATAAGTTGTACTATCCACAACCTAGCGGCAGAAAGGTGTACTATACAAGCTCTGCGCGCGGCAATTCAATTCCGGTTTTTATGGGTACCCCCTCGTATTTTAACAATCAATCTTATTTTAGTTTTAGTCCTTGAGATTGTAATCATTTACAACCCAGAAATTTGTCTTGAAGTGAAATATTTCTTTTTAGTTTCACCTTGTAATGAGACTTTATTTTTCTTCTTTAATTGTTTTGTTTCGAAACAAATCATTTTTTAACAAAACGAATTTTTCTTCGTACAAGTCATTGAGAGTTCTTAATTTATTTACCATAAAACAAAAATTTGTTTCTATGGAAGCTACGACGCGAAAAAAAAAAGAAAAATCTAATCTTGAAAATTGGATTTTTACTCAAAACGAACAATTAAAGTGGCAATATCGAAAACCATCGATTTTTTACTAAGGCCATTTTCTTGATGCTTATCACTTTTTCCGTCAGCCTTTTCAGCATTATCGTTGACTTTTGGGACACCCTGCACATATGTTTAAGAAAAAAAATATCTTAGAAGAAAATAATATAAATTTCCGTTTATTTTGATTTAAAGGAGTATAATTTTTCATTTGAAGAATAGATTGGTCTTGAAACAAAATAATGCAGATATAGGTTTGTTTTATCTCGAAAAGCACTTCCATTTGCTCTAAAATAGTATATGGTCTTGAAGGAAAATTTTAGAAATTTTCATTATTTCATTTTTGGTCAAGAAAATTATTTTGTCTTCGAAGAAGAATCAAAAGGTTTTGTTTCGAATGAGCAAATATTTTCCTTCTAGAGGAAAAGGTGTCTTAGATTGATACACAATAAAACAATTCCTGTCTTGCAATAAAACAGAGAGTTAAGAGATTTTTTGCGATAAATAAAGAAAATATTCTCTTGGTGAATAGGAAAGCGCAATTACTACAAAGCAATTTGCCTTGATCTAAGAAAAAAAAATTTACCGTGTAAAAATTCAACACCCTGTATTTGTTAGGGTTATATGAACTGATACACTTACGAGAATTGTTAAATGTTTATATTTCCATGAATATTTCTTTCAAAAATATTTCGAAAAGTTACTTTGACTTGATTTGTTTATGCGCATCAAACTTCAAAACAGGTCAGACAAAAAAAGGCTCCTTCTGGTATACCATTGTCGTCGTCTTTTTCGATTGTAGGTACGTTAAACCCAATTAAGGATATTGCGAAGAAATTAGACGAATCAGTTACGCAACTCCGTCGGGTTTATGTAACGTTTTTCGCGGTTCGTTTGGCCCGAACGGGTTTTCCTCTTTCGAAAGACCGGGAAAATTGATTACGTATCCGCCCCTTCTCGACCCAAAAGTCACCGGAAGCAACAGCGAATCAAAACTCCATTTTCTCATTCAAAAAATTCTTTTTCTAACTTATTTTACCGCCAAATGAAAAGTTGAAGTCTATAGCAAAACTGAAGGGAAAGAAAATATTCAAAATTCTCCTTTCATAAGGCAGACTAATATGCACGGAGAATATATACAGAGAGTTTTGTGTGTCACGGTTAGTTAGAGAAAAAATCACAAAAATTTAACTCAAATCTTGTCTTTGCAAGGGGCATTCACGTTTATATTACTAGAACACAGTGTATGTTTAAAGTAAATGCTAAAACTAATAAGGGGTCTTTGTAATCTAGTTTTCCGGGTTTCTTCTGAGCTTAACGAGGTACCATAAAATACGAAAAATGCATTTTTGTATGATCGATGTGTTCAGATGCTGAAATCACACTTTATTTAAATAATTTTAACCATGTTTATATCTTTTTTTAAATCTAAGTTAAGTGTTAGATTTTTGGTTATTTTGTTCCTGTACAATATTACGGTTCGGTTACTGATGGTATTATTTATCAGCAATACATTTGCTTGCTAGATATTTTGATTTAGAATATCCTCGAGTTTAATGCTTATTGCACTGTTTAGAGAGTTATGTAATCCTGTATGTTGTGCAATAAATAAAGAATTGAAAAAAAGTTGGGACAATCCACTTGAATAGTGATGCCGTTTTTCTTATGGTTGGTTCTGTATTATACCATTCTTAATTGGCTTAACTGGATTATTATTAATTACAAATCTCAAATCATAAAATTCAAATTTGGAAGTTTTATGTTTCTTCGCACAAAAAACATGAAAGCGGTAATATGATTTGGTTATTGAGGGCACCTAATTTCTACCTATTAAAGAAATATATACAAACCAACGAAGTTCACCACGGGAAAAAAATTATATTGCTGTTTGTTAATCGAAACCGCGATTTTGAAAAAAAAAACATGAAATTCTTATTTTTAGTTATCGCCAACGACTCACCTAATTTCAGAATCATACTCGATCTCATTACGAACAAATCACGAACAACGCGAAATTGAAACGAGATTTTGCGTAATATTTTGGCGGCAATTCGTAGCCCGGCTCTTATAGGCGACGGACCTGCCGCTCCCTCCATTTTATACTTTCCTTGGTGAATGAATCGAATGAATGGGTCCACGCGTCCTTTTGTTTTTCACAAGTATTGACTGGGAAATAGGCGGCCAAGACGAAAGCAATTTGCGCCATTTTGTTTCTGAACAGCGATCTCTGCTTCATTCGTTTTTTGACTGAAAATTTAATTCAAACTGAGTATATCTTGACAGAATAATGACGAAACTGAAATATATTGGATAATGCAAGGTTGCCGCTTTCAACAATATGACAACATCGTTATCTTCAATAGCAATACATTTTCAGAATCACTGATTCTGATTATTTTTGCTTAAAACTGACTCATCTAATGCGGTTTTGAATATATTAATTATTTTTCTTTTTTTATCGCTAAAACTTTAACTTGGTCTAAAATTTTGTTTTTTTTTTATTTTATATTATACAGGGTTGCTTAACAATAATGATTTCACATTCCGATTGCAATGTCGCCGACATTTCGCCAAGACTTCATTTAACATTTTCAAAAGTGGACTTTAATCAAAAATTCGTATGGGTGATTATTTTGCACCATTTGAACAATTCCTGTAAAACAACATGCCGTTCCATGGGTTAAAGGAAATTCGACTAATATACAGGGTGGCCCATTTGAAGGTTTTGATCATTTCTGTGTGTTACGTCAGCATTACTAATTTATACTGTATACTGTATATACATTTACCTAGATATGTCTATTATACGGGGCTTTCGCAAAGTGCAAAATGATGATTATATGTAATAAATGATTATTATTAGTAGCAACATTGTATTGTCCAAAATATTTTAATTCGATAGAACAGACTCGAAAGGTAGGTACTGAAATTTCCCGTTCTCCATAAAAATCTCACCTATAATCGACCATCGATCACCATAGTAGTATCTACTAACTATATGGCAAGTATATGTTAAAATCTTTTCGAGAGAAATCGGCAAAAACAAAAAATTTAAATCTTGGCGCGTCAGTTTTTATTTTTGTTGTTATCGCATAATTACATAGTTTTAATTATTTAAATAGCACCAGTTGGTTGAAGTCACTGTCAAGATTTTATAAACATAAACGCATAGTACATTCCTTGCCGGTACAATAGAAATAAAACGCGGAATTCCCCGGTGACTCGTCGAACTGTTCGTGGAATATATTCATATTTTTTCATTGACCCTGTACAACATTTCTTCAGATTTGGACAAGGCGTGAATAATTATCAGCGCGATGGCGATCTAGGTCAATACAATTGCAGTATATTTATTATTTGGTATGATTCCTTAGTAATAGTTAACAGTTAAACCTGCACACTACACACACTAAAAGGTAAAGCAATGCACAAGAAGAGAAAAAAACAGAAAAGGAAGGAACCTATGTCAAACATGTATAGTCTGTCTCAATCTTCATCGTGCTGGCTTTTGCCCGCAATTATGGAAGTTACATGCCGACGCCAATACAACTCTTTTCCGATAGGTATTTAAGGGAGAACATTACGGACGGACTCACAAATGTTTTGGTAATAATATATTTTTTTTTGTTTATTTAGGTGGCTATAATTTTATTAAAATAAACTAAGAACAAACAATGACATTAAATATATACGTTAGCGTCAAAATTTCCTGCCCTCCACGATAAAACTTTGTCTTCTTTTACATATATATCTTAGTAGGCTGCGAAAAAAAAATTAAAGTCTTGCGTCAAATAGTTTTTTATTGACAGAATTTTAAACAAGTCCGAAAAAATGACGCAAATAACGCAAATTGAGTATAGAGCAGTCATAAAGTTTTTGACAAAAGGAGGGTCAGCACCTAAAGCTATTAAGGAAAGGCTGGATGGTGTGTACGGCCAAAGTTCTCCTTCGTTTTCGAATGGGGCAGGAGACCCTTGAAGATGATTCAAGAACTGGTCGACCAGTGGAGGTCATAACGGAAGATATTGTTGCGATTGTGGAGGAGGTGGTATTGAGTGATCGACGTTTAAAGGTCAAGGAAATCTCAGAAATTAGTAAGCTTTCTGTCGAATCCTGCATGATCATTTAGGTATGCATAAGGTTAGTGCAAGATGGGTTCCTAAAAACCTTTCGGCTATTGAAAAACAACACCTGTGTCGAGTGTGCGCGTTTGGAACTCTGTGGGTCGGAACCGAAGCCTGTGATAGCAACTATTGTGACATGAGATCAAACTATGGTTCTCTATTATGACCCTCTATCGAAAAAAGAATCAATGGAGTGGCGTCGTAAGGGTGAAGCACCTCCAAGAAAATTCAGAGTCTGCCAGTCAACAAAAAATAATGGCTACGATCTTTTGGGATTGTGAAGGAATTCTTTTGATAGATTTTAAAGAAACTAATACCACTGTCAATGGTAAATTTTACGCAACATTATTACATAAATTGCGAGACTGCATACGTGTAAAATGTCGAGGAAAATTGACCAGAGGCGTGCGTCTTTTGTACGATAATGCACCTGTCCATACTGCTGGTGTTGCACAAGCTGCCATTTTAGAATGTGGGTTCCACCAGATAGATCATCCTCCCTATAGTCCAGATATGACGCCCAGCGACTAGTATCTGTTTGGATATTTGAAAAAGGACTTACGTTTTAGCTCATTTTGAGCTCATTGAGTTGTTAATAAAGACATGTAATAAGTGTATGGAAGTTAGGGGGGATTATATTGAAAAATAATAAAAAAATGTTACTCTATTTTGTTTCTTTCATATTCATAATTCATAAATTCATAGCTAGGAATATCTATACATAATTACATTTTTTTAAAATTCTAAATGTCTAAATTTAATTCTGTTTCACTATCAGAGTCCTCATTATAATAGGATTTATGTTGTGTTGTATAGAAATGCGAGTTTTCAATTTTTCTAATGTGTTGTATTGAATTTTTCCAGCTGTCAATTGGTATGTTAATTACATTTTTTATCATATTTACAACACTGGAAATTAAAGTGGGAGTAACATTTTGTGCTCTGACGTTTGATTTTACTTGGATTCACAAATGCTCTATGGGGTTAAACATGTATGCCCACCCTGTTTAGCCAAATTAATGCAAACACACTGTCTTTTAATTGCATATGAACTTAGGACTTCAAAAGTTTTGTAACTGAACTCAAAATGAATATCATTTTCTAACAAATATTCCTGGATTTCAGTTTCCGAACTTGATGAAGCTGGTGCGTTGCGTAGCAGATGGCTGTGGTAGCTTGTGCAACAATTACACTTTATAACAATTACACTCAGTTTTGAGTGGAATCAACCCATCTTTTCGATACAGTATCGTGTGTATCGCACCATGTTTCATCAAGGCAAATTGTGGTTCTGTTGTCTTGAGCGTATTTTGTGTGATTTCATTACTACTTCGTTGTTTATGCGGCTGCGGCTGTTGTTGTTTACTGTAACAACAACAGCCGCAGCAGAGAGTGCAGGACGAGACCCAACGAAGATCGATCGCTGTCCTGCCATACATCAAGGGGGTTACTGAAAAAATCGGCCGAATATTACGGAAACACGACATATCAACGGCATACAACCCTGACCATACCATCGGAGCTATACTAAGGAACCCAAAACAAAAAATTACTCTGGAAAACCAAGGAGTATACAGTGACGCGTGCGGATCGTGCAGCCTGACGTATGTGGGACAGACCAACAGAAGGATTTCAGCCAGGCTCGAGGAACATCGTTTAGCCATAAGAAACAAACAAACAACATCTGCTTTGTTTCAGCACCAACATCAGACAGGCCATAAAATTGATTTCGGCACTTGCAAACAAATAGCTAATATTCCTGATTTTAGGACTAGGATTATACGAGAGGCCATCGAAATAGAAAAGTCCGGACACCTCAATACGAGAGACGACGCTCTGCATTTATCCAACAGGTGGAGAACGATAATCAAACAGCAGAGCGATGCGCAGCAGCCAACGGGGACATCGCAACTACGATCGGGCGAAATTAACAACGCGACAATTCAGGGGGCGGAGCCACCTCCCCCCACGCACAAGCAGCACCGTTACCATCTCCGGCGCAGAGTATAAATACCGCACGCACCGCCGATAACCTCCCAGTGTTCGAAGTGTTTTCGGAGCGCGAGCATTGAAGATGCCAAGTGAGATTTTGGCGAAACGTCTGCAGGATTCCAGTCGGATGCAGGATTTGCAGGATTCCAGTCGGAGTTCAACGAGCGAACGGATGATATCCCGGAATATAGTGTCATCACATTTTTCCATCCGTGAATCAATACGTGAGAATATATATATATATATATATATATATATATATAATGTTTATAACAAAAGTACAGGAAAAAGAAAAATATAGCATCCTTTTTGAGTGTTGGAATGTTGTAGGAGGTACAATTTTAAGACTAAGAGGAATCCAGTTATAAAAAACATAAAACATCACTCATAAAGAGCGGATTATATATCGCCAACCTGTTGGTGTGTTCCACCTATCGGCTTCGTTTCGTTTTTTTTACTGTACGGAAATTCTAGATCATTTGCTAACTTATGATTTATTTTATTTATTTTTGTTAAAATTTGGAAATCGTCCGAGAGCAATTCGCGAAAATTAACAAAAAACCTCAATCTCCTCTCTTTGAAGATCTTTTGGATTTTGTTTTTAATTGTCATGCGATATAGCGAATGGTGGCTACCCTGTTCGATCTCGATAATTATTGGCGGTCGACGTAACATCAAAATTTCGAACAAATCGAGCCGCCACAGAAACCCAAACAATAATTATCGTGACCGGAATACATTTAATATATTAGATAATATTCCGGGCGTTTCCTATCCATAAGCGCCGAAATAAATTTAATAATTCACGATTATGATTGCGCATATTTAATAATAATACGGATTGCGGATCTCGCGTCGCGCGCGTTTTAATTAAACTCGCGTTTTTGATGGTATTGATGGTCGGGGGGGGGGGCTCGTTTGGTTTACGACCCGA